GGTGCCCAAGAGGACTCGGTCAGAAGGAGTTAGCTCACCAGCCAAACAAAGGACTCGTCACTGCCTACGAGAAACATCTCCAACAACAAAAGTGAACACTTCAGAACCAGTACCTCAGCCAATACCAGGATCTTCTCAAGAAATGGTCGAAGAATCCCCTTTCTTTACTCCAAACCCCTACCAAGTGCTTCAAAATGACCGAGAAGTATTGGAGTCTGCAGCAATACCCACAGAACCAAGGCCTCCTCCGATATTTGTGAAAAATATAAAAAATTTCCAGTTGTTCCGTATCCAACTAAATAAAATCTGTTCTGGCAGTTATTCATGTCTTAACAGGACCAACGATACAAAAATAACACCAGATACTGCTGAAACCTACCGAATAATAGTGAAGTACCTCTCAGAAACGAATGCGAATTTTCATGCTTACCAGCTTAGGCAGGAGAGATCGTTACGAGTAGTAATAAGAAATTTACACTCCTCAACCCCAACTGAGGTGATAAAAGATGAACTAGCGGCGCTTGGTTTCAAAGCACGCCAGGTAACCAACGTTATGAAGGAGAATAAGGAGGAGCCTGGAGTAAAAAATAAAGTTCCACTACCTTTATTTTTCGTGGATCTGGAGCCATCACCCGGTATTGGGAAAATATACCATATAACAAGATTATATTACACAATGGTGAAAGTAGAGAAACCATACCCCAAGAGAGAAATCGTGCAGTGCCATAATTGTCAGGCGTATGGCCACACGAAGACTTATTGTCACCATCTGCCGCGTTGCGTGAAATGCGGTGAACAGCACAAATCTGTAGAGTGCACCAAACCTATATAAGATCCTGCAGTGTGTGCACTATGCTTGGAGGGACACCCGGCCAACTACAAAGGATGCCAAATTTACAAGAATCTCAAATCCAGACACCAGAAAAACCGGATTCAAGATGAAGCAGGAAGACCAAGAAGAGAGAGAGAACCTTCTAGAATAGTAAACAATAGTGTATCATTTTCCCAGCTACTTAGAGGTAAGAGCTCAACCGATAATTGTCAAGCCCTGCTGCAACAGCAACCTCAACCCCAACCTCAAAATCCTATTGATTCAAATAAACCTAACAATACTTTATTAATACTTGATTTTTTAGGGTCAACTAAAGAATGCATAACTTCTCAAGATTTCATTCAAATTCAATGTTGGTACAACCATTGAAAAGCTGAATTGCTGCTCTTCCAATCCACAACAATAGGTTTTAGATCATTCCTTTTTAAGCTAGAAATTTAGAAAATCTCAATAATTTTTATTTTATATCTTTGGTTCCAATTTTTTTACGAGGTTGCGTTTGTACCATTTTGTGTAGCATACAGAGCCCTAAACCTTAATGATTTTCATGTGATTCGGTGAAGTCGTTCTGAAGTTATCCCAATTTTTTGGTTGTCAACAAAAATTCGAAGGTTCCAGTCGAGGCAAAAATTTTAATGTTTCGATTGCTATGAAAAATAACGTATTTTAGAGTTTTGGGTGGTGCGAAAAATGAATATCAACATTGTTTCTCTCTAAAAAAATATTTATCCCGACACTGTAGGCTAGTGTAATCAGTTCTCACCACTATAGATGGCGAGAGGTATAATATATTTGTCATCAAATTTAGGACTTAATTTATAAAAAATTTACTCACTGCAAAGCCTGCAGTGTTTCTAAATTACTGATTATTTATGAATGCAGATCGTTCGGGTGACTTATCACTTATGACATATTATCAAAGTAGGCAAGGCAAAATGCTCTTATTTTTTCATGTGACTAGTCATTTCATTTATGCAAAAAGTGTATTTACAAAATAAGTTAAAATATGAAGAAAAATGTACCACCTTGAATACCAAAACTAAATAAATACCCATAGTTATAATATAATCATAGTTATTTCACTATTTAAGTCTTTTTATGACTGCCACCCTGGACCATCTCCTTCCTCTAAAATACACTATGGTCAATCATCAAGTATTCAATAAGATACAAAAACGTTGAATAATTTTAATCTGTTTGAGATTGAATAAAACCATTTTTTATATATGTCGCTCTAAAAAGTAGATATTTAGCTTAAACCAAAGAAATTTGGAAATTTCAATGGTTTTTGGAGCACTACAGCGAACCCACAAGGTGTTCAAGGGCGGAAACTTGGATTTTTGATATTCACTACATATCTAACAATATAAAAAAGAAATTTTAATTACCTGACCTTTTGCAAGGTAACATGTCTAATTTGACTGGGCTACATAGATAGTTTTCAGAACACCTTGTTGAGGGCAAAAGATCCAAAAGGTCAGTAATGTCAAGAGAGGAAAAACAACTATTTTGAGTTACATTTGTACTTCTCTACAAGGCTGTCACGTGAGTGTTAGACATCTGGGGCGAGATTTTACCATGGGACTCCTCCCCCTCCCCTACTCCTACCCAAATAATCACATATTTTAGACTTTTCTCTTCAGATATAAACAAGACACATAAATATTTTGTTAGGATACGGTGTCAGATTATGATGAAAGTATTTGTCATTACTTACCTATTGTAGATGATTTTTATATATTTTTAAAAACTTTATAACCAATCTAGGCAGAAAAAAATCTTAACACCTGATATTTATTTTATTTATGTACCCAATAAAAAGGAAATTATTTTATGAGGAAAAATTATTCTGGTTGTATAATAGAGAGGATCTAAATTGATTCTAAAATTAATATGACACCTAATAATATAGGTAATATTGAAACATATAACAATTACAATTATTCCATTAGTAATAGTTTCATTTCGTTAATGTTCCATTTATCTTAAGTAAAATTTTGAAGTTTTTTTTTTTTTAAATGAAGGGAGTAATTTTTAATGAAGCACTTCTTTTTTTTAATCCTAATTGTTTTTTAATTACCTCTCCTGAAGAACAAGGCCGCTTTCGATAGGCAGATTTCTTTTAATCAATGTTAACAATATTTGTTGTAAACAAATAGAGTTGCCAAACTTTTTTCTGTCCATGAGTGGATTAGTTTTATGTAGAAGTTACATCCATTCTGGAATAAGTCAAATTTAGAAATAAAAGTTAGCATAAACAAAGGAATTGATTGATATATAATAAACTATAAATCCGAGCAAAGCCAAGGCAAAAATAAATAACATAAATATTTATATTTTTCTCTTAATATTTCTATTTCTATTTCGAGAAATATTTTATTTCTCGGCTCCTAGAACCCATTGGAAGGAATGCAACAACATTTGTCCCAGAGGTGCCCATCCTCCCCAAGGTCAATGCCGATTGAACCTTCCCCCACCCATCCTATGATATTTTATTTCTTTACTGTTCTTAAAAACAGTGCAGGCAAAAGTAGAATTTAAAATTAGTAGATTATATACAATTACACAGCCTACTCCTACACTCTGTTCTATGCTTCCACTTGTCTTTTGATTTAAAACTTTTCATTTACAAAATTCATTACTCCATCAAAATGTGCTCCCTCAAAAATTTTGATGGCGCAACTAGCACCATAAAACCCCCTTCTGGGCACTCTTAATTTGTCCAACATTGTTTGATGTAGAATCACTGAAAAAAAAATTAGTTGAAATCAGTGATCTACCCCTTGTAAGTTCAGTAATTTACATTAGCTTTAACTTTTAACAAATTTAAAATACTATGGATGTGGGATTGAATTATAAAAAAAAGTTTTAATTAATAGTAAAAACAAATCTGAAGGTTAAATGTTAGTTACTATTCTTGTCTGAGATTATAAAAAAATTGAATAAGAAAAAAACAAAAAATATTATAATTAATAGTATAATGCATTTGAAGGTAAAATGGTTATTATATCTGTCTCTGATTCCAACTATTTTTTTCTGTTTAATCAGAAAATTAAAAGCAATTTATTTTAAGTTCTTATTCTTAATTATTGCATTATTGGTTATCTAAAGGCATAGTAAACATAATGACTTCCGAACTACAGAAGCCAAGGAACAGAACATTGTAATAATGACTTTCAATTAGGAATTACAATTATACCCATTTCTTTAATGGTGAATCTAAACATTTGAATATATATATATATATATAAATTATATGAGGTACATAAGAATTAAATTATGATCTGAAAACAATTTATTTAAAAAGTTTAATTTCACCATTTTGTTGTATTCACCCTTTATGCACACGATTGTTTAAGATAAATTTGCAGTTTCATTTATGTAATAATTTAAACCTCATTGAAAAAACAAAATTAGTAGAATTCTGGAATCAAAATTAGGTCTGAATGTTCTGAATCTCTCGACTTTGAAATCTTCAAAATACATAATATTTTTAGGGTAATATTTCATCTAAGGTATTTCAATCTTGAATATTATCGGGAAAGATTTTTCATATACATGGATCCTGTTATTGGAATGGATTTTTTTCCCACAATCAAATATTCTGTTTCATCTTTATTTAATTGTAGGCTGATTTGCCTTGTGTTCTAAATGAGTCATTTAATGACCTCTTGATTGTTTCTGAGGATAGCTATATGATCTGCAAATCCTTGAGGATTTTCAGGATATTGTAAATAAAGTTATTTTTTTATAGAGCATGATTAGAGTGAGGGGTTAGAAAAAACAACAATGTTTTTAATGAATTGTTTCATAAAATATTAATTGATAAGTAGGTAACAAAAACATTTGACTATATTTTTCAAAATAACTTCAAACAAGAATATAAATGTCATCCATATCACAGAGCTTTCCACTGTGAATTTGTACCTGAGAAAAGATTTGTGGTTTAAGGAATATCGTTAAATAAAATGATTTTTATTTTTTTTTCAACTTTACTGATATTTATTATGGGGATAATGAAAGAAATAGAACAAACAAAATAATGGTTTAACCATAAACATAAAGTATATATATTTCTTTCTTTCACAACATTAAAACATAAACTATAAATATATATATATTAATTATAAACTTTGTATAAATTATACTTAAAAATTAAATGATACTTTCCTAATAATAATACAAAAAATAATTAAACTAATATGCATTTTGGTGCATAATTTGTTTTAGAGGCTTTAAAGCAACTGAGATATAAATGAATATAATCCACATGAAATAAATATTTTTGTCAGTAAGTAATATATTTAAGGCACAAAATTGATCAACTTTATAAAATGAAGAATAAAATAAATATCAATTAAAGCATTCAACAAGCATATGGAATTAGAATATCAGTAAAAACATTGAAAAGTTTAGAATTTCTTAAAAAGAAATTAATCAAGTTGTATGGCTGCCATTAATAGTACCATATAGATCCTATATGCAAATATTTTAATCAGTTATTGGTTAAAATATAACTGTTATATATTTTCTTTATATTTCTTGTACTTGATAGATAATGTTTTATTGATACAGCATATTAAAAATAATACTTTTCTTTCAAATTTAATAATTTAAATTTGTAATTGGAATGTGTTAAAAAAATATAATTAAAAAAATCCTTAAAATGAAACATACTAATTCTTATATACAAAAGAATTACAATTATGAAAAAAGAGAGCTTTACTACATATTTGTACATATTTTTAATTTTTCATCCATAATGTGGGGTAAAAATATGAGCAATGAGCATTTCTGTCATTTTAAAATAATAATGTCAATAATGAATTTTTTTTTAGCTTCATATCTTATAGGTAAAATCATATTATATTGCACCAACCACAATAAAACATTAAAGTATGATAACAGGTCCTTGTGCTTTCATCTTTGGGACAAATTAATACAGTGAAAAGTTTTTCAAAACATATCATTAGTAGAAAAATCCATAAGCAGCACAAATGATAAGCATGAAGTAAGATTGGCTGCAGATAGGCAGTAGTGATGGCTGTGTTTTCCACGATTAGCTATAAATAAAAAGTAAACATTAAAACACAATATAAATAAATTTTATTCCAGTTTTAACACAATAACAATTCCCTATTAATGATATTTTATGCTATCTTCATTTTTGTTTGATATTAATTTTTAATTCATTACCTGTCTTAGCTATAATCTGTAGTAGCAGGATCAAATTTTTGTAGTAAGACAAAGGATGGAAAAATGTTATAAATATGAATTGATCTGCACTTGTCATTGACTACAAACAGGCATTTGATAGCATTAAGAGATCAGTACTGTCAAAAATGCTAATAAAAAATGCATGATACAGAGTTGTTATTGGAAGTAAAGTTGGTCGATTGTTTAAGGTGAAATCTGGAGTGCATCAAGGAGATGCATTATCGGCAATGCTATTCAATATAGCTCTGCATGCTGCTGTGAAAACTACAGCTAAAAAAAGGTACTATCATTGATAAGACATGACAAATTTGTGCCTATGCTGATGACTAAGCATTTGCTGCCACAAGTGAAGAAGCATTTGAAATAATACACGAAAATGGCAACAAAATAGGACTTGTAGTCAATGAAATTCTAACTAAATACCTAAAACTGTCCTCGGCAGCAAGTAGATCCTCCAGCATCATCAAAATAAGGAATTTTAGGTTCGAAAATGTATCCACATTTGTATATCTTGGTTCTGCCCTCAATAATGCAAATTTAAACAGCAAAGAAATCAACAACAGAAAAAAGATAACCTACTATGCAAACATTAAACTTCTGAAATCTCCATTGTTATCAAAAGCTACAAAATTAAAGCTATATAAAACTCTTGTTAGACCAGTAGTAACCTATGCAGCAGAAACCTGGTGTTTTTCACAAGAGGATTGCCTTAAACTAAAAGTATTTGAAAGCAAATAGGCTGAGATGGGCAGAAAATGTGGTTGGAATGGAGAATAAACGGGTGCAGAAGAAAATATTCGAAGCACACTTCAGTGGGAAGAGGAAAGGAGGAAGTTCGAGAAGCATGTGGAAGGATGAAATGGAGAGACACGAGGAAGTTAGCAATCTGCAATTGGAAGAGAGAAGTGGAGAAAAATAACTGCGGATGCCAAGGGTCATGCGAGCCTGTAGCGCTGGGGAGTTAGTTAGTAATCTGTCTTTGCAAAATTAGTCAAATTTTAATATGGAGTATTAATCATTTTGGATAGAGGCCTCTGTATCTGTCAGCCAGAGAATTGGACAGCGAAGACTAGTATGGTACGGCCATGTAAGATGAATGTTTACAGAGCAATGGCCAAACTGATTCATAGATTGGCAATCACCGGGAAGGCGGAGACGAGGACGACCTAGGAAAACATGGATACATGAAGGGGAAGAGGAGATGACTGGCCGGAGTCTTCAGGATGGGAACTGGCTTGACGGCGATCTCTGGAGCTTAGCTCCGACGTGTAAGGCAACCCTCCTTGGAATGCCTATATATATAATACATAATATAATTTTTATTTAGATCTTAGGTCAAGGGGAGAAAAACAGCATTTGTCCTGTCAGATGACTGGAAAAATGTATTCTCTTGTAAATAGTAAATGAGCATTCTGCGAATGTTAGACTTTATGGAAAACTATTACCTTATAATACAGCACAGCATATAGACGAAACAATTGTGAATTCAGAGGTGGTTTTTTGGTCGGGGTTGCTATAGGGGATTACCACAGGATGTGGGAGAAATATTACCACATTAATTTCTCAATCAGAAACAATGCCATTATGTACTACAGCGAAATGACAAGTGAATAATACGGAAAAAAAGGCAGTTGGTGGCAGGGAGGGTAAGTAACAGTAGGGGAAGCAATAGTTCAATTTTTACTGGTATCTTCATACCTCTTGTCTTAAATCCATGCCTCTATTTACTACTCATTTATTTGCTTAATAATCTAAAATAAGGAAACAATATAAATCATTTTAGTTATATTAGAAATGAATAACTTACTCAATCAGAAACTTGCACAGTAAATAAAACATATAGTAGAGTAGATGAGCAGATAAAACTATAAGAACCAGCAATTTCAACAGTTATGAATTAAGTGGCTGAAGCCGCAATGGAGATAAAATACATGTTCTGACAACCTTAGACCTCCAAAAAACTGAATTTATATAATCAAGGCTCATTCAGCATTGATAAAATATTAAAAGCGACTTCTTTTATGTCTATTTCCAATGAGTGACACATAATTTATGTGTTTAAATAAGTTTCAGTTTTATATAGCTAATTGCCAGTTTGAACTGCCAATTTAATATATGAAGAACATAAACTGATAAGACCCTTAAAAGAAGGAAACATCCTTCAAAATTATTAATTTTAATTAGCTAAAACTAGTTGGAGTTGATAGAGATCAAAACCAACTGATTTACTATAATACATTTATAATAAGTGTTAGATAATTGCTCAAAAATAATTTCCTTGATGAGTAGAATCATTATCAACAAGAACACGATAAAACAAAATGTGATATTACCAAAATTAAGGTAATGCTTCTTGTTGGATCTCAATCTTCTCCACTCTCATATCAGGATTCATGGCTGTAGCTTCTTGTATTGCCTCAGCAAGAGCTTTATCGTGGTCTATTGGATCACCATCACTTTGGATGGTTATCTTTTGTTCAACTCTTGTTTCAACAACACCATCTTTTTCTGTCTTGTACTGAAATGGAATATGGAAGTTATTTTAAAATTCAATTATATATTTTATAATATAACTGTATTTATTATCAAAACAAAATCTTTATAGGTAAGATCAAAATAAAGCCTTAATAGAAAAGTTGACTATTGGTTAACAACTATTTTCTAGATATTTATATGGGCAAAAGATTTCAGGGAGAACCTCGTGGATCGAGCTTAGCCCAAGAGGTTATGCTCAAGGAGGGAAAAAGCTTTCTATCCCTAAATAACTTCAGAAATCTACCATGTCAAGTATGGTAAAGTCACCATTGTGAGACTCTTCCAATAATTTTAAATGTAACTCGTTAAATTCTTTTTTTGCTATATATGTACAACAACACACTTATGTGGCCTAAATTCCTTTTAAGATAAGTAAAACATTGATATTTAGGTCGTTTTTTAGATAATTTTAGAGAACATGTTTTTCACCAATAATAGACATCAGTGCACCAGTAGTAGACAAGAAAACACACCAGTAGTTGACACCACTTAATTAATATATTTAATTTATTTATAATCAAATGTGCACCTATATTGGCAGCTTTTACCAAGGAACTATGATTAAAAAAAAATAAATAGAAAACTTTAAAAATGCAAAAAAATTACTTTTTAATTAAATTACATTTGTAGATAAAAAGGAACAAGACATTTCTTGGAAAAAAATTCGAACACTTCCATGCTAACTATGAATGATATTCAATCATAACTACAAAAAAGTTGAATTTTCTAGTAGTAGACACTTCTGTCTAATACTGGAACAAGAGGTATTATCATTATCTCATTGTTATTGTACAGTTTGTTATTGTGCTCAATCAAACAAAACTAACACAAAACCACGTTACCTAGTGAGTTCATTGTCTATACTATCATTTAGAGAAAAAAATTGTGAAAAATCTTGGAACAATATAAGAATAATTGATGAAAATCAAATTCCCCTCCTTAGCTGATTTGGTAACAGCAGGACCTTGGATGACACTGCAAAGATATCAGCTGTTCTAACCTTTCCACTGCTCACTTGGTTTGGTACTGAATTCTAGTGGCTACACAGTATAAGCTAAAGTTTAAAATAACATGAAATTCAAATCCTTCTGAAGGTTCAAATTCTTTTTTTTTTTTTAAGTTACAGTGTCATGTGTCTACTACTGGTGCCTTTGCCATATTTTTTTAACATTTTATTGTTTTACATTCTTTCAATCTCGTGTACATCCTTGAGTTGATTATTATTTAATATAAAAAGGTTATTGAAAGACCTTTGCGCACTAAAAGGTTCTTCCTAAAGTTGTTTGCCTGTTGTTGATAAGATATCCAACAGCTGAATAGAATTCATAAATAAACATAATCACGAAAAAAAATAAACACAATCAATTATTCAATAAAAAAACAACAAATGGAAAAAATAATAAACTAAAATAAAGAAACCTTGACTAGAAATTATCTTGCTTCAATACTTTAGCTTCCAACACTTAAGTTTTAATAACATTAAGGGAAAGTCATTTGATGTGATAATGATGAATAGATAATTATAAAATCATTCTGTCAGTTGAGTGATTATTAAATTAATCACCATAATTAATTACTATACTGGGAATATTAATATCACTTACTGTAAGAGTTTCAACAGTTCGAGTTTTTGAAGTTATGGTCTGTGATTTAACAACTGCTCCAGGAATTTGGAAGGTGACATCATCCAACCGTTGGGTTACCGTAGGCACAAGTGGTGTATGATGCTCACCACTAACGTCCAACTCTGGATTGGCACTGTAAAGAACTGTCTCTGTTTCAACTATTGGTCCCTGAAATTAATAAAGAGCATATTAATTTCCTTTAAGTTTAACATATTAAGTTTCCTTATTATCTGAAACAACATGATGATAATGTATGAACATAAGACATTTAAAAAAAAAAATATTTTCAAACTAATATGAATCATCTGCTACTGTTTTTCTTTTTCTGGCATTATATTCTCCAGGTCTACCAGTTTTGTTGATAACAGAATACTCATTTTATGGCATCAATACTTCGAAATATTGTCTTCATTACTTTAACCTTCAACTGTACTAATTACTTAAAAATTAATAGCTTATAAAATGTAGGTATTATTTGATGTTATGTCAGATATCACATATCTGTTTAAATGATAGGCTATTGCACATTAATTTAAAAAGAGCTAATGAGAAAGATGTAACATCTATCATAGAATAGAGAAAAAAAAATGTAAAACATGCAGAAAATAAAAATAAAATATGTGAAGTGAAATATAGAAAACATTGATTTTTGATGTTAAAACATGAGCAGTAGGAACTACTATTTACTTCTATTAAAATTTCATTCATGAAATGTAATTTTACGATTGCAGAGTATCTGTTAGGGGTGTAAGAAAGTATTTGAATGATGAAAGGGCAGAAGCATGGTGGACATTAGATAACAAGGAATCCCAGAAGGCAACGGAATGGGGAAGAAAGGAATGTTCGAAAGTTTCAGTTCTATGGGAGGAGGTATAGAGATCAGAAACACGGAATCTTGTATTCTGTGAGTGGACCTAGTGGTTAAATTGTAGAAGATTGTAGATATACAAAGGAAGCTGAGAGTTGATAATAAAAGAATCTGGTGCACGCATCACACAATGTTCACTTACCACTCTCTTCTTAGAAGAAATAAGTATTTTCAGACAAAGAGGAACTGAAAGTAAAAATTATTGACACTATTTATATACAATTCATTGTTGGTATTTTTATTTGTTTAAATACTCTTATATATACAAATTTTAATTTGTATATCGCTGCATTCTATACAATTAAATATTAAATAATACACAACGATAGCATTTATGAAAACCGCATATGTATATGAACATAATATTGTCGGATTATTATATGAAGCTCATATTATGTATGGAAGCCAGTTGTAACCTTTTGAGTGAGCTCAGGTAAGCTCGTATTTCTTTGATTCCTCTATTACAACCATTATCAGTTTCGATCTCTTATTTCTCCTTTGGTTAGTTATCAAATTCTTTCATATTTTATATATATCTATTTTTTATATCAACGATTAATGTGAAATGGTTAATATTGCAAGGATACTTATTGTATAGAAATAGATGTAGATACTTGTTGACCTACTAGTAAGTATACAATGTGAGAAAATTGTCTACCTCTGGAACAATGAAGGGATTTATGTGGTCATGAGGAAGGATAAGCAGATCAACTTGACCTTGTTGAACATGGACCTAAACCAGTCAAGGTCCCAGAAAAGTCTACTCCCTCATGGAAACCGAATGTTATATAAGAGTACAACTAATTCACAGAAAGGATATACAAATCTGACTAACTGCCACCCCTTATAGCGAAGAATACAAATAATTTGAAATCCACATTTTTCAATGGGCAATCATCAATTCGTACATTTTTTTATTATCGATTCAGAGGGAAATCCGAATGGCTCTACTTGACTTCAGACATTTGCTACTTACAGATTTTCTTTAATTAACTGATTGTTTTACTCCAATGGTTAGAATGACTAATTAGGAAATAGAATGTTCTCTTTAGTACAATAAAAATGATCCAAGACTAACACAATGTTACAAAAAATATGTAAGGGATTCCCACAAAATTATAAATTTTGTTCAATAGTCATTAAAGCCTGTCTGTCACTTTAATTTAAAATAACGCATTTCATTTAAATTTGTTCTTTTAAATTACAATTATGAAAATAAATAAAAATTATTAGTACAATGATGTTACTAAGCTGAAAATTGTGATTTAGAAAAAATCAAATAATATAACTTTTGAAATATTCTTATAAATATAAATTATTTTTAGGTTCATATATATAAAAGATAAATATTCTTTTAATATAACTGGGGTTTCCCAAAGAATCATTTTTCTGAGAGACCGAATGGACACATCAAACAAAAACTTTTTAAAATCCTTACCTGTGGTTTTCTTTCTAAGTAATAAGTGCCACCATCTCCATCGATTGGTGTCCCAGAATCATCAGAAGAAATGGAAGATGACGATTCACTCCTCCTTGGCTTCTTTTAGTTCAAAACAGCAGAGAAAACGTTAAAATGAAACAAAATAAAATAAAACAGAAAATAAAAAAGGGTAAAATAAAAACATGCAACATATATAAAATCAAAATAAACAGTTGAAAAGGGTATAACAAAATTAATCATAAATCAAATTAAATAATCTCAATTCTACAAATAAAATGGAGGGAAAAAAACAAAACAAACAACTATCTATATTACCTAATACATATTTCCTTATTTATTAATAGTATTAAATATATGGCTGTGTCAAGTAAGGTAATCCCCTAAAGTATCATTCATCTGTAAACATTATAGTTCAGCCAATTACGTTAAAATTTTTTTGAATGACAGACAATTTATTCCTTTTTGACTTTTGGTAAATAATTAATAGGGGCGAAGAAAATAGAAAACAAAAAATGCTCCCTCATCCTTGTCTCCCACTTATCACCTAGTAACAGCTGTTATTTTTAAAGCATTAAGTTTTCCATCATCCTATTACCTTTTTTTCTTTTTAAATGTAGTTTTAGAAGTTTTGTAGGTGAGAGTATGGACTTAATTGGAAAATAAAAAACGGTTCAATGCAGAAACCACAAACAATTGCTGCACAAATTAAACACCTTCCTCCATTGTATCCTATCAAAAGCCTAACATACAAAATTAGCTTTAAAAACATTGTACCATCTAGGGACGACAAAATTGACCTTTAACACCAATTTTATTAGTTTTTATTTCAATGAGTTGATGTTGGAGGTTATTTTATTAATTAATTTTTAAAAAATTAAAACATATGACAAAGTATAAAGTTTCTTTGTTGGGAAAATTCAACAAATTATTTTAAGTTTCATTAAAAGCTCTGCAAGAACTGCTATTTAAATTTAGGAACTTTATAATTATATAATTTACAAAGCTAAACCAAATCAGATGAAAAAAAAAATAACTTTTTTCTCTAAAGTTTGTCTACATTTTTTCTTATTTAATGTATATTTTTGAATTGATTGTTTTTTAATTTTTTTTTATTAATCTGTAGCGTCATGCTTGTGGAGGATTTGAAGGCCATATTCTAAAACGCACGTTTGCAAATAACTAATAGAAATAAAAGATTTTAAAAAAAATATCTGGTGTGTCCACTCACACGATTTTTCTATCTATTTCAGAAGAGTTTTTATATCTTTACATATGTCCATCAAGAAACAAAAAAAATTGAATTAGATTTATTTTCCTGAAAATTGATCAAAGAAAATATTTGAGTACGATTTATTTGATAAACTAAAGCAATCTAAACCGGCTTAAGGTAGATCAGTGTAAAAATTTTAATACCCTCTAATATTGCTGATCAAAAACTTTTTGCCATAGCCTAATTTTGTCAAATAATAATTTCTGGTAAAAGTAGAGGTAATAGTGAAGCTTGTGTGATGCAGGCAACAGATTTTCTTACTTTAACTAAGTTATCTTTTTTCTCTGATACCAGAATATGTACCTGTAATCTTACATAGGACATTGAATAGCTGTAACTTCATTAATGTTGTCCGAAATGAACGATTTTTATATAGTTTAGTAGGGAAATTCATTACCTCTCAAAAAAACCATCTAAACGGCGTTTTTCAGACTCAGAGGGCTCTGAAAAGTATAGATTTGTCGAAAATCGCATATCGGAAATATGACCTGATCGCATCGCAATACTTTTTTTTTGGCTTAAAGTCTTGTAAAAGCAAGTCCTATTTTGCCAATAAAATATTTTAATTGTCATTGGAAGATGAAATTACACAAGATATTTATTGAATATTTCTAGTTAGATGATCACTGAATGTAACTTATATAGAACTTAAACGGTAGTTAATGAAGTAACAAACCGTTAACAGACATTCAAGAGGTAAGGTGGCCAGATGGTGGGGAAACCACCATGGACAGCTAGACACTGTTCTACACCGGGAGAAACAACAAAAATGGGATAGCTGGCACTGGATTTATAGTTAATCCGGCCACAAGGAAGTCAGTAATAAACTTCACCCCAGTAAATGAAAGGATAAGTGTGCTACGAGTAAGAGGTCGTTGGTTTAATATCATGATTATTAACGTGTATGCACCAACCGAAGAAAAGGATGATTTCTACGATCAGTTAGAAAAAGTTGTGGACCAGGCTCCAAAATATGAAATTAAATTAGTCATGGGAGACTTCAACGCCAAGATAGGCCAAGAAACCCAATTTAAATCCATCATCGGAGGCCAAAGTTTCCACGAAACTAGCAATGACAATGGAATGAGATGCATTAGTCTGGCAGCAGCTAAAGGTCTAGTAGTAAGCAGTGCAAGGACATACATAAGTATCCCTGGGTAAGTCCTAAAGGAGCAAAAAGCCAAATCGACCATGTGCTGATAGATAAGAGGCATCAAAGCTCCATACAAGACATAAAGAGTTATCGTGGAGCAGATTGTGATTCGGACCATACTCTGATTAGAATCAAACTCTTTCAGAGGCTGAAGCGAATCCAACGAATTGGTGACCAAGTGGAAGGAAAGAGGTACGATGTCCGTAATTTGAAAAACAGTACAAGATGAATTTCAAATTGAGCTGAAAAATAAATTCGAACCCTTGAACTCGGAAGGCCTCACGGTTGACCAACACTGGGAGACACTAGAGTCAGAGCTAAAACAAACAGCTATGGAAGTAATAGGGATTCAGGAAAAAAGAAAAGCCAAGAAATGGTTCAGAGAAGCATGCGTAAAGGCAGTGGAGGAAAGAAGAAAAGTCCTCTGCTTTCAAACGAATCAGACTATGCTGGGCAAATACACAGCCGTCAGGAAAAAGACAAACAAAATAATAAGAACAGCCAAAAGAGAATTCCTCAAAGAAAGATTACAAACTATTGAGGAAAACTGGCAGGCTGGAAATATGTGTGAATTCTTCGCATATATCAGGAAAGAAAGGGTAGGATATAAAATGAGAAATACACAAATGTGAGGAAAAGATGGCAAATTTACGGCATCAAAAGAAAAGATCCTAAGCATCTGGAAGGAACACTTCCAGCAGCTGTTAATCAAGGGCACTCCACAAACGAAGAAGAAATGGATCACACTGAGGACATCAACCCACTTGAGGTTGAAAAACCAGATATTCTGGATGTGGAAATAGCTATCGGAAGGCTTAAAACAAGAAAGGCTCCAAGGGATAGACAACCTACCATCAGAATTGTTCAAGGATGGGGGAGAAGGAACTGATACCAGAAGCATGGAACACAGGGTTGATCTGTCCTATCCTTAAGAAGGGCTCCATGTATGAATGTGACAATACAGAGGCATAGCACTTCTTCCGACAACGACCAAAGCAACTGACGTCTGACATAACTCCTTCATGACAATGTATGTCCTCACATTGCTGCCAAAACCAAAGAGAAGATTCAAGATTTTCGTTTGGAACTTTTTGATCATCCTCCATGCAGTCCCAACCTTCAAACAAGAGACTATTTCTTCTTCTTGTTGCATTTGAAACAGTGACTAGGTTGACAGTTTCAAAACGATAATGAACTCAAAACTGGCATTATCAACAGGTTCAATTTTGAGGTGGCAGATTTTTATGCAAGGGGGTTAAAGAAGCTGGTGCAGTGTTACAGAAAGTGTACAGATATGAATGATGACTAAGTGGAAAAGTAAAGTAGATACGTAATAAAATATTACTGTTAATAAAAATCTTTCCTCATAATTTTATTTTTTTTTATGATCAAATAGGCGTTAGTTTTGGAATACACCTTGGCGCACCAAGTGTAGGTGAATCGATTTATAAACTAAATTGTGTAGGGAAATGTTAATTACTAAATAATATAACATAATAAACTGTCATTGACTGAATAAATTTCTGACATGCCTTCTTTGTAGGGTTGTGTTTATCTGTGCAGATTAATTTTTTAGTAAATATTCATTAATATAGAAGAGATGTATGATATATATATTTCAATCTTGTTGGTTAGTTCTTATAAATAAATAAATTCACCCCATATGAATTTATTTTCATTTATATAATAGATTTCTTCCCTTGAAAATGTCATAAGGGCTGAAACGAATGCAGAGATAAAAATAAAGTAGGGCTATTGTGATCTAATGTGTAATTTTATTATAAATTTTATTTTAACCATAATAAACTAATTAAAAATTAACTAAAAAAATGGAGTGATCTTATTTTTTAGCAGATTGTTTTTTTTTTTTTTTGTTTTTTTTTAGCAGACACCTTATATCTCCCGGAACATTCTAGATACTCATTTGAAAGATAATTTAATTGTCTAAAAAGCTGATTAATAAAAAAAAAAAAAAAACAACTTCTCATTCGGACCAATATTAGTGAATAACTAAATAGAACTGTCTGAATGAGGAGGGTAACCTACTTCAATTAGTTGTTAAGTGAATACTTAGATATAATGCCCCATTTGGATAACTTAGCTACTAAGGTAACTAAGTTTAATGCAATATCTTCGCAAGAGTCCAGCTAATAAAGATAAAAAGATGTTTAGTAATCAAGATCCTGAGTCAACACAAATGTTTAAAAAAAAAAAATATTAAAAAAAATTATATTTAAAATACATGTAGAAATAAGTTATTTAAAAAACAGAAATTGCTTAGAATTTTCCTCATCTTGAATCTAATATCAAACATTTCATTGATAGAATAATATAGAATTTAAAAAAAAAACTGTCAAACCTCCATTTTCCTGCAAAACCATAACGTTGCTATTATTTAATTCTTAAAAGGTAGGAACGATTAAAATTTTTCTTTTCAGTATAGAAATCTTATAATTTCTCCTAGTACAAAGATGGCTAAAAGCTTTAACAAATTTCATTGTTATTAAGATATCAAAAGTATTTTTCTGTTGTTCATAGAAATATATTATTAAAATCTAGAAAGAGCTTGTGAGATTTTTTTAAAAAACAATTTAAATGATGAATTACATTTTACAGTGCAAAACAAATCACACCCTGAAAAGTAATTCAATAAAAAACTATCAAGTGATTTAAGTTATTTGACATTGTGGTAAAAACACTGAAGAATAGTTAACACACAATAAAGATATACACAGACATGTGTGTGCATCTACCCGGACACGCCATGCATTTATATATACATATGAATAGTTTTACTTTATCCTCTATCTGAACTTTTATAATACTATACCTGAGGCTCATTGACAACAGTTGTTGCTCTAACTTCTTGTGTCACAACCCTCTGCTCTTGTCGATGGCCAGTTGTGGTAGTGCTCCTGGCAACAGTTTTCTCTTCAACCTTCATTCATGTAAGTAAAGCAAAACAGATGTATGTTTTTATAAACTTAACACATAATGAGACTAAAATACTAAAGAATAAAGTATTATCTATTTTAAAAAATACATTATAATACTATATAGAAGGACAATAATCTAAATGCTGTTGTATTTGTGTAAATATGTTACTTAACAAATGCAGATTTATCTTGATAATACCCATGATTTTACCAAACTGATCAAGTAAAGCTACTAATTCACTGGAACTGCCCCCACCACAGCAAATGACAGCCATAACTGCTGGGGTATTTCGCAGAAACTGCTTACCATAGCAGCTAACTTGCCTTTCATTAAATATCCTAGTCCAAAATATTTTAAAATTGAAATGTTAGGCTTAAAGGGCCATTTGGACGACTGGACTCAACATGTCGGGTAGAGAGGAAGGGTGGATTTCCTTTCAACATTCGATCTTGTCATTACTTCACCCTTACTTCTGACATAAAACACACTGTTTTCATCCATTCTCATACCTACAATATATATGTCTTTGTTTTTGAAGTTTTTAAAATTTGTATTTATGAGATGCATCATATATGTTATATTATAACCGAACCCAATGTTATGACAGCTTGCTTAATTCTCTTTAGCTCGTACATGTGAAAAAAATTCAAATAACTGCAACTATAAAGGCTTAAGAGAAAAAAAAAATGGAAAATACAAGAAGCTTTAAAAAAGTTAAAAAGATAACTTATAATGTTTTCAAGTATAAATACTAAACAGACTAAAATTTAAAAAAAATTCACTTATTTCCTTGTCACTTTCAGGAGCTTATTATGTTTATTAAGTTGTCAGATTGAAGAGAGGAGCTCAGGAACAGATAAAAGGAAGAGTGGTTAGATCGAGCTGTCTAAACGCAATTCACTTGCTGGTGGTGGAGAGCTACCTCCCTAACTTCCTACCCAACATGCTAGGTTGTCTAAATGGCCCTTAAATGTAATAGTTTTCATTTGTATCACAAGGGTAAGATTCTATGTAATGGCAGAGTTTTGGTCTTATTTAATTAATATCTGCCATTTAATCTGATATTTTGAATTGAATAATAAGGTTAAGTTATGCCTGTACTATAAAATCTTAACCTTCATCGAACTATAAACTACATTTCTTCCTACAATTTTTTTTTTTTTTTTTGTAATATTTTGAATATAAAATATCAGCCTCATGAAAGATCGAATACGACAATATATTATTTTAAGAATTTAAGGTGTATCTCTGTTTTTAAATTTATGACCTATTATTAGTATGAATATTCTAGCAATAACTATATTCGTTAAAAAAAGCACAACAAATAACGTTTTATTATTAAGTGATAAATAAGTCAGCACTTACTTGCGAAGTTTTAGCATTGGTACCCAAATCTTCCAGAGTTGTTGCAGTTCTGGTAGTGAAAGCTGTTGCAGTTATAAATGGAGATCTTGATTCATCTAGACCTTCAGCCTTAAAATAAATAATTGAGATTAGTTGTGAAAACATGTTTTTGAATTTATTTTAGAAAAATAATCTATCTTTGTACAGCCAGTGAAATACCTATACATGATATCAACCAATCATGGTATTTGAAATTTCCAACTGATTTCTGACTTTTGAGAATTTTTTTTTGGTAAATTCCTGATTAGCAAAATTTAAAAAAATAAGCAATAATAATCTAAAATAAAATTTTAATGACATGAATATAATGAAGTTAAAATTGAAACTGCTGCAAATTATTATTTAATGATTTATTTTATTTTATAAAGAAAGAAAATTTTTCATTTATTCACAATACAGAATGATTGTACATATGATTATAGAACGTATCATTCTTATAAAATATAAGTAGAACAAGCCTAAGAAGTAAAATAATGGTTTATTATTTCCAAGACAATAACTAACAACTTTTTTTAAAGATTTAGTATAACAAATCCAGGTCAAATATTTTTTGATCTAGTATCATAAAAAAGAATTATTGAAATTGGTGTTCCCATGTCTGCAACCTTCCATTGTTAGGAATAAGTTTGATTAGTTTCAGCCAGTATTAATTTAGATTTCGTTTTTTTTATATTCATAGAAATAATTTTTTTAATAAGTAATTTTAATATTTTACAGTTTTTTTTTTTTTAAATAGGAGTAATTCATTTAATATTGATGTTATTCCACCCTTTTAATTTTATTTATGTTTAAGTAATATACTAATAGAATGAGGAAATTGCTGCTCTTCCACAAATGCCTTTACACTATTAGATTATTTTAGCCAGTTAGAGATAACTGAATTGATAACTCAAAGATAGCAGATCTGAAACAGAGCATTAGAATTGTAAGAGGGTTCTGATAAAGGCTATAAAAGAGATTAAGCTTGATAGCAGGAAGAAACTATGAAATAAAAGATACATAGTAGGACACATGAGGAATTCCTTAAATAACAGTCATGGAAAGACTGAAAAGTTTCAGATCTGAACATTTAGAAACAAATCTGGTGCAGTGTGCACATCAAACAACTATCACTTTTATCATAGCACACCTCCCTTTTATTTACCAGAAATAGGTATGTTCAGAAAAAGGGAAGTAAAAGTAAAAAATTACAATACGTTTTTCAAGACTGTCTAATGTAATATCAGTTTTGTAAAACTTTTAGTTTTTTGAGCAAGTTTGTTCACACACACATTGATCATTTTGTGGGACTTCATTATTTGGACAAAGAGGACCTCAAAACATATTTTCCATTGAAAATTTCCACAATCGTGATTCTTACCATTACTACATATTACATATATAGGTAAGTGAAAGTAAAAAAAAAGAAGCAGCATGGTGCTATTTTAAAGATAATTAAAAGTGGTTGTTTACAAAATCTATAGTTGCTGAATCAGGACCAAGAGCCATGAAAATTATTATAACTTTCAAGCATACAACTACTGCATGCATAAAGCAATCATTTCAACCCAGTAGGAGAAACAATGCCTCATGTTCCTGTCAAAAGGGAAAAGGGTAGTCAAATTTATTGGTCTATTTGTCTACTGGATGTTGCAGACAAGGTACTACAGAGGATTGAGGGTGAAAAAATGATGAATTCCTGAGAAGAAACCTGAAGATGTTGTATCACCAGTACATCGACAAATGATTCACTAGATTTCATGATCAAATCTAGATAAGGAGTCATGGGAAAGAGGTGGATGAAGGGTTGAAAAAAGTTTAATGTTGGATATAAAGAAACCATTCCATGTAGAACAGTGGAATTGCTTATAAATTATTTTTTTTTTCCAAACTTTCTATCCCTGTGGCCTTGTCAAATAATAGTAAACAAATGCAAATTTCATTGGTATAATTTTGTGTACGTGAGGACCAACATTGCACAAGAGGAATCAAATTGATTAAAATACAATTATTCAAATCTAATACATGAAAATAATTGTCTTTTTGAAAAATAACTTTTCTTATTATCATCATATTTTATAACATACATTCTCATGCAAACCAAAAAATGTATAATATTTTAATACAAAATGAAAAAATCTTACCGTATTGACATGAGTTGAATGAGTCACTTCTCCAGTATCCATGTCCTCCACCTTCTCTTCAATATTTTGGGTAACAGTTCCACCACTGCTAACTAAATGGGACTTTGTTGTAGTCATAACAACTTTAGGACCTCGAGACTCTTCTTCGGTTACTTTTTCTGCTTCAATAAAGTCAGATAATTTTTTTTCTTTCTTATTTGACAATTTAGCTTCCGTTTCAAGAGAGCCTGGTTCTCCATCAAGTTCTTTACCATGAGCCATTAAGGACTGAGCTTCAGTATCATGATACACTCCAGGTAATTTGTTGGTTTCATTGCTTACAACCTTCCCTAATAATTGATCTGACTTATTTTCTGCGAGTTTATCATCTTCATGTTTCAAAGGTTTTTCTTTCTTTTTATTGAATAAGCGGTGTAAGACATTTGAGGCAGATTCTGGATCATGTTTAAGTTTTGCTGTTTCGACTGGAGCATAGTTGAATGCAACTCCTGTCTCAGTTTTGGTCTGAGTTGGTGAGGTCGAACTTTTATTGGCTGAACTATCAGGTTTCCGATCAGTTTCATAAGTGAACTTGCTGATAGATTTGGGTCGGTTAGAATCTTCTACTGAAGTGTATTCATAAACTTTGGTATATGGATTATTTTCAGATTCAGTTAAAGACCTATCATTCTCAAGAGTTTTGCTTGTTTGGTCTAAACTTGTTTCAGGAGAATTGGTCTTGTCTAACGTTGAACTAAGTGATCTTGATCTGTCTAAGCTTGAGTCAGGAGATTTTTCTGAATCTGTTTTGGACTTGTCCTTTTTATCTTTTTTCTTTTCTTTTTTATCTGTTTTAAAAACAGACATTTTATCATTTTTCTTTGATTTATCTTCTGAACTTTCACTTTTTCCCGAGCTTTTCTCCTTCTCCTTACTTCGGTCTTTTTCTTTTTTATCCTTTTCAACTTTTGGTTCTTTATCTTTACTTTTCCCGAAATTTCCTAGTTTTCCCAAGCTTTCATATAAAGCAGAATCCTTATCTTTCTTATTTTTACTGTCATGAGATTTATTAGATTCTTTTGTTCTACCTTCTTCTACTTCTAGTGCAACAGGAATCTTTTCTTTTTTCTTCTTCCCCTTTTTCCCTTCTTGGTCATCTCTCTCCTTTACAGGCTTTTCCTTTTTATCTTTAGGACTCGAAGAGTGAAAAAGACTTATCAGACCGTGGGAAGGACTCTATGTTTTCATTTGAATTTTTGTAAGGCGAAGTGAAGAAAAAACAAAAACAAAAAAAAAAAAAATTAAAAAAAATAAACATGTAATACTAATATATAAAATAAATAATCTTCAAATTGTTTTGTAATTATAAAATAAGTGCCCCTTGATTTATACTTAAATATGTGAGGGCAATCATAGCAAAAAAAAAAAAAAAAAAAAAAAAAAATTATTCCCAGCCTCTTTCTGAAGTAATGTTTCAATATCCACAATGATAGAGGACCAAAAATATTTGTATGTATAAGGTTCAATTATGTATGAAGTGGTTGAAGTCTAGACGATTGTTGGGATAAGGGTTCAAATTGAAATTTACAATAGATAAATTATATTTAATAACTTTTTAACCCACATATAAAATTTTAAAAATTAAATAAGTAATTAAAATCAATCAAATAAGCACATGTATAATATTAAAATAAAATAGGGCATAAATGTGAACATGATATAAATGTAGACTACTGTGTATATGCTAAATTAGATAAAAAAGATAAAATGGTAAAGAAAAAAAATACTCATTACATTAATATAAAAAAGATAAGATGAAATAAAGGGGCTCATCTAAACAAAAGCTATAGAGTTTAAGAAAGCAACACCATAATCAAGTTGAACCTCTTAGCGAATAATGTAATGAATAAGAATAGATGGCGAGGACACCTTTAATTGATAGAACCTATCAAAATTGCTAGAGACTTATCAAGCTAAATTAGAGAGAAAATGAGAAAGGGGATGACCTAGAATAAGGTGGAAAGATAAAGTAGAGAAAGACTTCTGGAAAAGGAAGAGATCATTAAATTTCCAGAAATTTTTTAAACCTTCCTCATGAATATAAAGCAAGGTAACCAAGGTACTTATTTAGAAATTAAAAAATTGTTTGGGTACCTAGTTTTTTAAAAATTTAATTTCTTTCACTTGTGTTAATGCTTGCTTACGATAAGAGCTAGTTATTTTATTATTAATGGTCATCTTAGTCTATATTATTGATTATTCCATGTCAAGTGTATTCCTAATTATCTTTGTTGTAGTTTACAACATTGAATATTAAACATAATTAAAGCGAATGTGGGTCCCGAATTCATGAAAGAATGTGGAGCAGGTCAAGTGGCGTAGCAAACAGCACAAAGGTACAGCAAGGCATCACAGGGATGCTTTCTAAGATATATTATGAGAAATTATAAAATACTGACCTCCGAAAATCAACTTTTTTTCTTCTTCTGCCCTATCTCGCCTTTTAGGCTATAAAGGGTGAGGGAAGGGGATTAATGGCAGAGTTAAAAGACCACCCGAGCACTGGGAAGTGAACCCGTGATTATTTTACTGTATCCAACTTCCGTTATCAGGTTGCCAGGCCACGTGTTAGTCCACTCGGCCAACCCACCTTGCTCTGGAAATAACTTTTTTTTTTGTTCTTCTCCTTCCTTGCTTTTAAGGCTATACCGGGTTTTCCCGGGCCAGGGGGTGGGAGCGGGGAATTAATGTCACAGTTTAAATAAAGCTCCCCAGGTACCAGATTATTTTTATAAAATTATCTTTGATTTGGGTTGCGGGGCAAAGCGCCGTGCTGTGCACATGTATTAGCCCACTCGACCACCCCGCCCCTTTCTCAGGAAATCAATTGTTAACGCAAGTGCAAACCAATGTTGATATAGTAATTAGTTTGTAAGCTAATGCCGCCTAATGTGTGAAAGAACAAGTGGCCTCCCGTTAAAGAGAAAGTGACTAAAATGCGGTAATTCATAGCATAAATGAAAATAATATTACTATGAGTACAAATTTTGAAATTTATTTAATAATCTTTGGCAAATTAAAAAAAAAAATAATTAAAAGTTTTCTGAATAAATAAAGGAAAAGAAGTATTATTATTAATAAATAAATACCTAACGAACATTAATGAAATGATGATTAGGAAAAAAAACTCATTATTTCCAGCAATTGATAATTGTATTAAATTAAAAAAAAGGGAACGAATAAGACAAGGAACTGGTTTATAAAGGTTAGCCTTACAAAAGTAATCAATTAATAAAAGCTTACTTATTAGAGGTTATTTGTAACTTTTAATATAATAAGGATTGAATGCACTGAAACTTTTTATACATGCCTGTTTTTTCTTTTCAGTTATTTCATCCTTGACTGGAGTGGTGACATCGTCTACTACATTATTTCTGTTTTCTTTTTCTTCATCTTCAAGATCATTGGCAGAGAATCCACTAGAAATAAACATTATTATTATCAAGTATAAATAATGATGCTGTCTATTAGCAACATATAGAAAGTACTATTACTTGGTTCCTTTTTCTTTATCATATTGTTTCTTTTTTATAGGTTCAATAGGCAATACGGGAACGGCGCCAGGTGGTTTCTATAACATTAAATCAAACTTAATATACAAGCAGGTAAAACAGCGTAGGTAAAAAATGAATAAAAACAAAAAGGCATATAACAATAATAACGCATGCAAAAAAAAAAGAAAAAAAAAAGCAAAATATTTACAAAGAAATAAAGAAAAATATGCACAGTACATAAAAAAACCTCTTAACTGATAACACCGAACTGCTCATTAGATGAGAAGATAATGATTCATAGGAAGTCAAAAGAATATCCAGACTTATTATGAACCAATACAATGATAAAGAAATAACATGATACATCAATAAAGGACAAAAGCCATTGACTGCAAGAGCACCTTACATAAAACCGACAACAGTGTGAAGAAGTGTGGCTAACTCCATTAAAACAGGACAAAAGCAAATAATTAATTACTTAACATTACATTTCAAAAATCTGAACTGTTTAGTTAAAACTATATATGAAAAAACATTATATAACACATATTTGGGTGTCTTATAAAAATTATGGTCTAAATTTATTTTAAAGGAAACAATCAACTTCAAAAATATATGAATATCAAATCAGGATTATTTTAAATATCAAATAATGATTTGTTTTCCTTTATATTTGGGTACTGATTACAATAATGTTTTAATTTTAGCTTACTTTGATTCCTATTAATTAATTTTTTAAAAATGAAAATGGATATACCACAAAATGGCTTTCAACACTTTATAACATAACAGAAAATCACTGCATTAAATTTGTAATAAACATGCCTGAAGCATTGGATTATGCAATTTAAGGCTTTGAATTTTAACGGTGTGATAGCTTTTTGTTGAGTATTAACAGAATTATTTTTCATAAAGTTGGATAATGAGTTGACATGAACAGAATATTTTAATGACCAGATACATAACTGTCATAACCAAATGCGAAAACATTATAAAATTATTTTATTCATCAAAAGAAAAAAACATACCAAAACTAATGAAAAGGGTTGGAATCAATATAAAATAATATACCAAATGGGACCAGAAAGAAATGTAAGCTTCATTTGAATTTTAAAAAGTATTTGTTTAGAACAACAAAATTGGAAATACTTAAGATAGAGTAATTAATTGAACATGCAACAAGAATCCAACAATAATTATAAACTTATTGAATAATTAGAGTAATACCTAGAACAAAGAATTGCATCTAAACAATATAGGCTCTTTTATTAACCCTTTACCTTAGCCAGAGATGGAAGACATACAATGCAGATATCTTAGAAGTTTGAAGTTAAGGGCTCAGGCCAAGAGGAATATTCTAAAAAAGAAGTACCTTGGTTGATGATAAAAAGAATTCTGTCTCCAAACTGATGATAGACAAATAAATACAAGAAATTCTGGGTAAAATAACCATATTAAATGTAGAATTGAAAAAATATTGCAACAGAAAAAGAAAAGGAAATGGGAACTAAAATCTATATACAGAGATGTTAATGGCACATTACTTAATGATGAGAAGGTATTGGAGATATGGAGGGATTATTTTAACCAACAAATGGGATTCACGGAGAACTCTTGAAATAAGAAGGAAAGAAAGTAGAAAGGATTTGTATGACTTTATAATGGATATATGGCAAAGTGAAAAAAATCCAGAAGTGCGTGAGTTATATGTCACATAAATAAGAAAGAAGGCATACAAAGGTACAATAACCACCGAGGAATATCTCTACTCTCTAATAGTTACAAAGTATTCTCAAGGCTGCTATATCAGAGACAGCCCCCAATCGCAGAACGAGAACCTAGATTGTATCAGGTCGGCGTTTAAGAGAGGTTGAGGAACTGGAGATCAATAAGAACACCTTTTCAATAAGAACTATCCTAAAGAAAGCCAAAGAATATAGCGTTACCACACCCCATCTCTTCAAGGATTCCCTAGAAGTCCTGAGGCCACATTATAAAGCGGAAGATATACCAAAATCTGCTAGGATTGGGAACTCCCACCAAGATAGTTCGTTTAGTAAAAATGATTATGAAGAAGATGGAGAGTTTTGCCTAGGGGGTGGGAGCGGGGAATTAATGTCACAGTTTAAATAAAGCTCCCCAGGTACCAGATTATTTTTATAAAATTATCTTTGATTTGGGTTGCGGGGCAAAGCGCCGTGCTGTGCACATGTATTAGCCCACTCGACCACCCCGCCCCTTTCTCAGGAAATCAATTGTTAACGCAAGTGCAAACCAATGTTGATATAGTAATTAGTTTGTAAGCTAATGCCGCCTAATGTGTGAAAGAACAAGTGGCCTCCCGTTAAAGAGAAAGTGACTAAAATGCGGTAATTCATAGCATAAATGAAAATAATATTACTATGAGTACAAATTTTGAAATTTATTTAATAATCTTTGGCAAATTAAAAAAAAAAAATAATTAAAAGTTTTCTGAATAAATAAAGGAAAAGAAGTATTATTATTAATAAATAAATACCTAACGAACATTAATGAAATGATGATTAGGAAAAAAAACTCATTATTTCCAGCAATTGATAATTGTATTAAATTAAAAAAAAGGGAACGAATAAGACAAGGAACTGGTTTATAAAGGTTAGCCTTACAAAAGTAATCAATTAATAAAAGCTTACTTATTAGAGGTTATTTGTAACTTTTAATATAATAAGGATTGAATGCACTGAAACTTTTTATACATGCCTGTTTTTTCTTTTCAGTTATTTCATCCTGGACTAAGTGTTTCAAGAGATTTTGAAATGTACAAAAGCCTCAGAAGAAAAAGCTCAGGTGTATTTTCAGCAATAATGACAAAGAATGATTATCGAAATAGGTAGACTATCAAATAATATAGGAGTGCCAGATATACAAAGGTTGGAAGGCTTTCCTGGGAGGGGTATGATGTTAGAATGAAGGGATTCCAAAGAAAGTTCTGGAAGAAACGCTAGACCCCAAGAGGAGAATTGGCAGGCAAAGAAAGAGATGAGCCAAAGATTGGAGAGTGTTGTCCATATTGGGAGTAAGAAACTGTAAAGCAGCAGCAAAGCTCTGAAATGACTGACAGTTGATACTATATAAGGCCCTAGCTCACCATGAGTGGCAGTGCTGGAAGGAAGACTCACCAAGAGTTTCAGTGCTGGAAGCAAGATTCTCCACCCTAAAATCTATGAAATGCGGGAACAACTATGACTGTTTATATTATTGTAGATATATTTTGTTCATAATTTTCAGAACTATACACTAGTATTTGATTATATGTGTCATGGATTCATTGTAATAAGCCATATTTTCATATTATTAGGAATTATAAAAATAGGAACAGTTCAGTTTTTTGAAATAGGAACACTTCAATTAAAGAAAAAAAAAATAGAAAGAAGAAAATATAAAAGGAAGAGAAAACTTTTTTTTAGTACTGACATCTTGTTCACTCCTCTCAGTTGAAAATTCTCCCTCTGTCGAAGATATAGAAGCAACTGACGACTCTTCTCCCTGTTTAATACCATTCCAAATATTGTTTGTTAAACAGAAGTACAGAAAATAATTCAAAGTAAATTAAGCAAAATATAAAATAATTTTAGGATAGTTTATTTAATGAATTATTGAAGGAACTAGTCGACTGTTCTACATATCATGGGTAATAAATAGTCAGGATGCAATCATACAAATTTTTTTATTTGTGCCGACATTTCAACTTAAACATGTGGGTCATCTTCAGGGCGTGGTTCGAGCACTGAAGGCTTTCAAGTACTCAATACCTCTCCTAAAAATCTGTCATAAACCGTTTTTCCCACTCACACCAAAAAATAGCATACAACATGGGTGATAAATAGTCAGGACGCGGTCATTATACAAATTTTTTTATTTGCACCAATGTTTCAACCCAAACATGTGGATCATCTTCAGGGTGTGGTACTCTACTCTACTGAGTACTTAAAAGCCTTCAGTGCGCGAACCACGCCCTGAAGATGACCCACACGTATGGGTTGAAACGTTGGCACAAATAAAAAAATTTGTATAATGACTGCGTCCTGACTATTTATCACCCATGATAGTTTATTTAAGAGCCAATTTTACATTATAAAAAGATAATTTTCTCTCTTCTTTAATCAAGGAAATATAAGCTTTAAAAAATAAATAAAATAATCTTCTTTTAATAATTACCTACTCAAGAACTGCTTATTCAATAATATATATATATATATATATATATATATAAAAAATTGGTACTTATTAAATAGCGGGTAGTGTCGAAACCTCCCTTGTTATCTAATCTCATTTTACATAACCTCCTTTGTTATCTCCTCTAACCTAAGTTATTCCATTTTGTATTTTTTGTTCCTTGTATAAGCTGTGAGTTAGTTTTATTTAATTATGGATGTTGTGACATTGAGGGAATTGCTGTCTTCAGAAGAAGAGACTATCAAATATTTTCAAGACACCGGGATATTTGCAAAGGTGAAATATTGTGATGAAGGTCATGAAATGAAGTTCAACAGGAAAATTAAATGGAAATGCTTTCGTACTTGTAACAAAACCGTTTCTATAAGGAAAGGAACGTGGTTAGAGGGGTCGAGGATTTATTTTTTAACGGCTTTAAAATTCATTTATGGATGGTCCCATAATTTAAGTTAAAATAAAATTGTTCATATTTTGTTTATAGTGTTTATATCGCTTCTTTTATATGTACATATGTTCCTTATAGTCTTAATAGCGTTTCTTTTATATGTACATATGCTGTTTAAGTGTTTTTTTTATTATTTCATTTATTTTTGCCTATTTTTATTATTTCATTTATTTTTATCTATATGTTGTAATGTTTTTTAATTATATATGTATAATGTTTTGGTCTATTTAATATATATCTTGTAAAAGTATTTTTTATTATTATATTTATTTTTGGTTTTGTTTACAATTTCAATAATATCAATACAATACAATAAATATGAATACAAAGATATAATAATGTGAATATAATACAATAAATATGAATACGAAGATATTATCAGTGGCTTATAAGAGTTATCAGTGTTAAGGTTATAAACATTGGCAGATAGCAGTCGGACGCTACCCGCTATTTAATAATTACCAAAAAATCAAATAAAAATAATAGTTGTGTTGTGAGCTGGCCATTTCTGTTTCATTTCTAGAGATTTTGTACCAGCTTGAAAGAAATTTCAATAACCATTATTAGCTGAAGAGTCCATTTGGGATAATAATTCGGGATCAATATGAGAGATAGAACTCCAGATCTTCCATTAAAGGTCAGAAATACATAAAAAAAAAAACAATGGTATCACAAAAGTAAATAAGTTTTTATAATGGCTGAAATAGCGTAACTATGCAGGCTTATACATAATTAAGAGAAATTACCACTATCTGCAATTTAGTGATCTTAGCCAGACTGAATTTACAAAAAGAATCATTACATGGATCTAAAATTTAGGCAATGGAATATTCTATCATTGTATAGACTTAGATCGCTTTGGCAACATAATTATCTTTATATCCATTCTCATAGAACTAAAATATTTGAACATTCCTTTATTGCCTGATCCACTGCCTTCTGGAATTCCTTGCCATTTGAAATCTGCCATGACTCTTCCATGTCCTCATTCAAATATTTTCTTTACCTATTTCTTTTCACATCCCGAAATGATACTTTACAATCATGAAATAAACTCTATGAACCGAATTTAGATTTAAGCGAATGGTTGTTTAAGTTTTAATATTAAGGATCAACTCATTATGTTTATAACATTCTGTTTTTATTTTTCCTGATTACAGTTTTTCTTTTCATTTCAATTGTTTTGAATTTTTCAAAATGTTTTTACTTTCTTTTGGTTATATATTGTCACTGTAGATATTGTATATATTGTTTAATTTTTAATAATGTAGTTTTTGGCCAGATATGGTTGTTTTTTCATGATTGTTATTCTCAAGGGATCTTGCCCCAAAATAAAGTTTATTTTCTATGGATCTATTTATTTATTAATAATAAAAAAAAATTATTTATTAATAATCAAAAAATAATTTATTTTTTTATTTTGTACTGAGGAAGGACCATACAATCTCTTTACAAGGAAGAAGAAAACATAAAATGAAACTATCATCAAGACATTCCCAATTGAGATTATCAATGAAGCTCTACTCAAGAATCGTAGGTTAGAATAAGAATTTTCAATTGCCAGAGAGATAGGGATTCAGAAAAAATTTCACATAAAAACTACCTTCACTGTAGCACCTACAGACAGGTAATAGAGAAGCCCATCGAGAATAGGAAATAACTCTCTATATGCTTAGTGTCTAACACCCTGGATTGTACCAATACTTAATTGCCTAAGAGCTAATTGAAGAGCTTGTTTCATGTTCTTTCAGAATCTTTCAAAGATTCATTACAAATCGAATATTTTTTTCAAATCCATACAGAACTTCACACCCTATCCCATCACAACCCCATGCTTAAACATGTTAAAATTAACACTTTTTTTTTTTTTAAAACACAAATAACCACGATTTTGAGATTTTATTTAAGAAAATAACATGGAAACTGTTAAATGTAGATAGTCATTATAAACTACTCATAGGAGTAGACGTTTCTATGATATCTGATAAATTTTTTTTTTTTTTTTTTTTATTTCTTTATGACATTTACAACTGTATTACATAAATACATCAAGTAAATTTGGACATAATTGATATAATGACATGAATACACTTGCTGAGTAACTACCCACCCAATGGTAGCACTCTAATGATATGGCTACATTAGGAGATCACGGGGCCATCTTCTTTTCAGACGCCTCGGAGGGTTATCAGGAATTGAAGAGGAAGCAAGGTTAGAAACGAGAGGGTTGGGATGATTCTGAAGTTTATTATGGAAGGATAGGTATCTGGATTGGGCCAGATCTGAAACATAAGGAACATTAAGATCTTTATGGATAATTTTATTAGTGACAAAGTAAGGAGCATTGAGGATTTTACGAAGGATTTTGGATTGTAAGGATTGGATGCGAGAGGAATTCGATGGTTTAGTGGAGCCCCATAGCTCAACTCCGTAAGTCCAAATAGGTCTTATTATAGTCAAGTATATGAGCCTTTTGTAATTAATGGGAAGTTTAGAGCGTTTGTCTAGTAAGTGCTGAAGTAATCGGAAACGTCGAGCGGTTTCTTGTCGTTTCAGTCTAGTATGAGGATTCCAAGTTAGTCGTTTGTCCAGGTGGAGTCCTAGGTATCGGATTTGCTCAACAGGGATAAGTGGAGTATTGTTATAGGAAACTGTAGGACAGGAAGTCGTTGGTTGTGACATCTGATAAAATAAAATCCAAAAGTTGAAATTTCTTGAGTTAAATAAATAATGTAACTTTTTCATAAACTATTGATCATAATAAGATCTATCAGGAATCAAACTGAAGCTGACCGAGTACACTACAAAGCAGTAGATGTCTCGACGTCAATAATAGTTTGATCTATCACTCTACATCTTTGTTTATTTAACCAATAACAATGGCCTGAGTTTTTATCGCATTTAGCCTAAAATTATTCAAGCTTGCTCAGGCATTGATCCTATCTAGGTCTGCCTACACGAGATACCGTGAATATTGACCAACACAATTAACTGCTCAGAAGGGTGAAAGAATAAATTGGAAGTCGTCAGCAAATAGATGGAGGGAACAATAGTAGATAGAATTGGGAATATCATTTATATAGAAATTAAAAAGGAAAGGGGAAATGCTCGAACCTTGGGCCACTCCAGAGGACAGTGTTAGGAAGGAAGATAAGGATTGGTTAGGATGTATGATTTTTGCTAAACAGTCCGGTAACTAGTCATTATATGAGATTCAGATTAAGTATATATTTTAGCTTATAAGAAAGATGGTAATATTATTCATTTCCGCAAAATACATAAAATTTAACTAACCTCTGAAAATCAATAAATATACAAAAAAAAATGTTAAATTCCTAACTATTACTGAATTAATTTTCATTATGATAAATACATAATTTTTACAATAGAGGACGTCTTAAAAGTTCTATAATATAAAAATATAGGAACTAAAAAAAAATTTAATTATTGTAGTGGACTACTCAATTATTTAATTAGTATTTGTTCATTAGTTACAACAAAAATAATGTCTTAAAAACTTTATCATAGCATTATAACTATTCTATTTATTAGTACTGAATGAGGTGGCAGAGGACTGTAGGTGCCTACGCCTGTGCTGCTTTTCTGCCGATTAAGTGCATTTTCTAGATGTTTTATCTCAAAGCATTTTTCATTATTATTGGCCATTTAATTACAAATGACGCTCGATATTCAATTTTAGTTTGAAAGACTTGAAATAATTCCTATTTTTTTTTTGTCAAGGCCTATTCTTTTTTTTTTTTTTTTTTTAATTTTTTATGTTAAATTATTCTCTGACTTATGTTAACTTTAATAAAAGGTCAATTATGAAAAAATTAAGCCAACTGCTGAATCTCAGAGACCAAAAAACTAACTCAAGTCAAAGTCGTCAATCCGCCATATTTGGGATAGTGCGGCCACTTTTTTTGTTTGAGAACATTGCATTTTTTTAAATAAATAGCTTTAAGAAACACAATGATATGCAATTTATAAGGATAGGGGGGTCTGGCCCGCAGACTAACTACCTTTAACAAGTCTGTTAAAGTACTTCGCTTTGCAGATGATCTGAATCTCATTGCAGGATCCTTTAAGTCATTCAAAAGTTAGTTTTAAAAGTTGGCTGAAACTGAAAAGAGATGGGATTGTTGATCAAGATCGAGATCTTTGATAGTTAATCGAGAAAAAACAATTTTTTAGTAAGATCTGCAGCAAGTTTAACATCCGATAGCTTGTTTAACTAATATTTTTTTTACTTTCTCTTTTTTATTATTGTTTTATTTTGGCCAGATGTAGTACTTTAATTATGTTCTATTTTGTTATTCTAAAGGGACTTTGTCCCAGAATAAAGTTATTTTCTATTTCAATTTCAAGTGCAGCAGAACACGAACAATTAGAAATGGGTCCATTCACCTGCCATCATGTTGATCAGTTCAAGTATTTAGGGTCAATGATAACCTCTAGAAACTAAATTTCAGAAGAAATTAGTATTTCAATGCTAATAGATGTCATTTTGGAATGAGCAGACATATTAAAAATTCTTTTAATCTTGTTCTACAAAGTTTCAGTTATATAGGACCCTCATCAGAATTATCTTAACTAATGGCTCGTTCAAGACAAGTGGAAAAGGCCTTTCTCAAGAAAATACTTAGCCTCTTATTAGGAGCATTGAAGGACGGTGACAATCGGAGAAGAAGAAAAAATATAAAGATTTAGGGGCCCTATGGAGTGGCAATTTAATGATATAAATAAAATTAGGCAGACATTACTATGCTATTTATTTGCTATGCCACATTGCACGAATAACAATAGAAGAAGCTGGACGAGAGACTGTACTCAGTTAAGATGGGAGGAGGGTCTAACAAGGAATGTCAGGGACATACTGGACACCCTCAACTGGAGAGAGGCTGCTCAGGATAGTTTGACCAGGCCAAGACTCATTAAAGAAGCCAGGGACCCCCACTGGTCTGTAGAAATCTTAAAACTAGTAACTATACAACTAAATTACATAATACATACACTACAAACACCTAATGAGATAGATTATCATAGAGAGTTGGTCGTGATGACGAGCCTGTTGAAGCATAAACTTTCTCAAGTCTAACAATGCCAGTTCGAGTATAGCCTGGGCAGATTAAAATTTATTCTTTGGTTAATATAGGTTTGGCTGTACTTTACAAATCTCCCTGTATATCCGAAATGGTGTGGTAGAGGTATTGGGAAAAAATCATACATTAGAATTATAAACAACTTCAAGGAATCTTATTAATATAAAGATAACAATAACACATAACAATATAGATCATATTTGAGAATCAAAAAACCATTTTTGAATTTAAAGAACCTGATTAACATAAAAACTAAAAATATATTATATATTAGAATATCAAAATTTAAGAATAGAATAAATATCTTTTACTGTTCACAATTATCCAAATGAAAATAAATTTAGCAAACACCTTTTCCTAAAAACAACTATCTGATCAATGCAGTAATTAAAGCAAAATTAATAAGTTATTTATTATAAAGCCAAATTATTTCCTCCCCCCCCCCAAAAAAAAACTTATTCTTTGATGATCTTACAAATTTAAAGTTTTTTATATATCTGTAGCATGTGTTAGCCAGGAAATTAATTCCAATGTACGTTATTTTAAAATTTTTAATCTACCTTTTCTAGTCTCACTGGTGAATCATGGATAGAAGTTCGGGCAGGAGCATGAGACATTGTATGGCGCTTCATAGGATCATCAACATTCATCTGCTGTTGTGCTAGGGCTAAAATTAAGAAAATAAAATTGCATTTAATCAAAATATACAACAAAAGAAATCACAATACAGAAAAATTATCGGATCATCATAATATGAATAATCATGTACTTCTGTATTTCAGACAATGCTCAAAGCATCTACACAAAGAAGCAAAAAGAGTAGCCATACTTCAGTATTTTTACTGATTTAAAATAAATTTATAATGTATCCATTTAATTTACTTTTAGAATACATAACAGTAACATAACTAAAGGTCCAATACACCCTGAGACCAACATATAGAGGACACCCTACCCAATTCATAAGAATATTTTCCTTGACAGATTTGAAACATTTCATACAAAAAATACTAGTAAAAACAAATAATACATTGTTTTCTTAAGAAAAACTCTTTATTTTAATTGATTAAAATCAACAAGTAAAATAATTTGTAATAACAAGTAATATATTTTGCAAAATTAGACTAATCATATTTCCGACTTCTTTCAAGGTCTTAATCAATACAATTTCAAATAGTCCCTGAAAGTGTTGAAATTGATATTTTTAACACTTATCTGAGAGACTGACCTTAATCAAAGTGTTTCACTTTGGAATCAATGCCTAAGAATTACTAATTTTGTAGGATTAAAAGATATAAGTCAAGATGCAAAGGAAAATGATAAATCCATTCAAACTTACTTACCATCAAGACTTTTAGAGGGTCTACATGAGTGAGACCTTTGGAAATTCTGTTCAGGCCTAGGGTTCAGCGATGAATCCAACACTTCTACTTGAGTTTTCCTATTCCATCTACAGAAAAAATAATTTATTAGCCCAATAATTTAAATGTATTTGTAAGATCCATTGAAGATCTATCAGACCAAATGCATTTTCGGAATGATTGGAATTTAGGTAGTCCGAAACTCACACTACTCCAGCTGGCCATGAGAGCAGAAATTCACTTTTAATTGGAACAGTGTACTGACAACAGTTGTCAGATAAATACTCTGTAATATTAAAAGTGTTGCCCATTTTTAAGCCAACAATTAAACAATAATGCTTATCTGGTAATTGAATAATCTTAAAACAGTAGAACCTGCTTAATAATAGCTGAATGATCCAATAAAAGAAATTGAGTTATCCAAGATTTCAAATTAAAGAAGTATTTATTTTTTGCTTTTTATTCCTACCTAAGAGATATATTTAATATTCATTCTTATAATTTAATCTACTGACGTCTCCTATATTGCTTTTTGGGAGGCCAACCAAATTTACCACTTCTTAATAAGTTCCTGGCATAAACCCAACCAACCTCAAACCAAACTCAAGGAATCCAACAAGAAGGACTAGCACAAAAACTGGCTGATGAACTGAAGGATATAGATGACGAAATTGATGAACAATGAAAATGTATCAGAAATCCCATAAGATCTACAACATAAGAAACCATAAGATTAAAACCAAAAGCAGGTAGATTACCAGTTTGATGAGCAATACCAACTTATGACATAATAACAATGAGGCATATAAGAAAATGACACAAAAGAACTCTAACCCTCCGTCCTAAAGGAGGGAAGAATCTGCATAAAAAAAGGTCCATAAAAGGAAGAAAGGAACAAGAGAGAATAAGCAGATGGAAGACATAAAAAGCCTCAGATGCACAAACGAAAGTAGACTATTCCCCCATAAACCAAATGAAGTAAAATACATTCTCAAGCTCAAGGGAACATATTGTATAATTGAGGGTGAAACCTTGCCCAAGGAGGTGTGATCCTTAAGAAATAGGCTTAGTACTTAAAAACAATTTTTTTGAACAGGAGGAATTATATCAAAGCAGGTCGAGTTGGATCCTAAGGAAGCCCCATAGCATAAGGATAAGCTAGAAGATGCCACCAAGAAGTTTAAAGATAGCGAAATAACCACAGTATGGGAAACATTTGGAGTGAGCTTCTTAGATATTGTGAAGAAGGGTTCAAGAAAGCATTACAAAACTGTATCCTTGACATATCGAAACAGGGGGGAGGGATGCCTTCAGAAAGGAGAAAGGCAGTAATTTGTTCAATCCATAAAAAAGGATACAAGACTGAGTGGAAGGACTACTGAGAGATCACTCTTCTCTGCAGTGCATATAAGGTTTGGTCGAACATTTTAAAAGGATGGTTTACTCTGTATCGAGAGAGAAAAGAGCCAGGAATTTCCAGGTAGGGACGATCTATGGTTGACCAAATATTCTTATTAAGGCTAATTCTGGAAATGTGCCAAGATATAATGAGGAAACACAACACTACCTAGAAGATTTTAAAGGTACTCCCCCTTTATTGGCAGATAACATCATGCAATTATTTAAAAAGTTACAACTTATGGGTAATAAATTCACCAATCTCAGGAGCCTTGAATTTTTAAATACTATAAAATGTGTTTATAGGGAAGAAATGTTAGGTCAGCGATATCAATTGGCAGAATCAAATTAAATAATTGCAATTTTATGGGTCGAAATTCACTGCCAGGAATACACAGAATTACAGGGCACTTGAAAGGTAAGGACAAGAAAGTATTTAGTTTATGAGAAATAAATAAATTTGTCTGCCCTTTTTAGGCCACAACCAACTACAGACAGACTCAAATTAAAAAATTGCAACTGTAGGTGTCAAAATTCATCAATTTCAGGAAGCTTGAAATTATAAAACAGGAAGTATTTGGTTTATGAGAAAGTAATAAAATTGTCTGTCAATGTCACATTGCAGAAATTCATTGGCAGACTCAAATTAAATGTTTACAATTTTAAGAATCAAAGTTCACCAATTTCAGGGGGCTTGAAATTTTGCAATACAATATTTATATATTAGTAGTCAATTTAAATGTAGTCTGCTACTGATAAACCATTGATTTGTAGTGAGAGACTGAGATTACAATTGCAATGAACTTGCTAGGAGACTGAGTTTGATGCTCAAACCTGAGAAAGATTAAGTGAACGGAGAATTAGAATCATCATATTTGGTTTAATTTTAAATATTTGAAAGTAGCTAACATTAACATAAAACAGAACTACAAAGGTTCCTGAAAATTAAAGCAAAAAAAAAGTCCAGACAGATTTCTAACCCTTTGATTATATATGAATTTATTATGAAAAAATTAACTAGTTCTAAAGATTTTATTTTATACATTCCCAATTTAAATCAAATATAATAATCCAGAACCACAGTTCATGTTAAACTTCCTTGCATTCAAAATGTTTTGTTTAACTGTTCGTTCTGGTTGTAAAATCATCCTGTCAGTACCAAACAAACCGCCCTTCAAAGGCAGCATACATTTTTTATTAGCACCATGTTAAGAATTATCATATAGCCAAATTTCAAGCTTCCTGAAATTAATCAATATTGATACCTAGAAATGTAATTTTTTAATTTGAGTCTGATGGTAGACTGCTGCAACCCCAAAGGACAGGGACAGACTATGTTATTTCTTTCTCATAAATCAAATAATTTCATGTAGTCAAATTTCGAGTATCTTGAAATCATTGAATTTAATGCCTTGAATTGCAATTTTTTAATTTTGATTCTTCCAGTGGACATCCAGGACCTAAGATAAGGACAATGTCTTCACCACTAGATAACTTAATTTCTCCCCTATTAGTCTGTGGTAGATTCCTTTTTATTAAATTATTAATATCCGCCTAGAACTTCGTGAATAGCTTCATTTCATCATAAATCAAAACCTACAAATTTTGTATCAATGAAAATTCTTAGAAATGGGGTGTTTTCTTATTAAATTAATTAATCTAATGAGGTACTAAAAACTCATAACCATCCATTCACTTTCTGCTTGAATTGTAAGATAGTTTGATCACAATATCGATAAAAAAGCTATACTAAAAATATTTGGCCATTTGGATTATATAACCTTGTTATTTTGTAATGTTGGAGGTGGAGATTATGCCGAAAGGCATACAACTTTTGTAGGCCATCTTTTTTCTTGATTTTGTCAAAAATTATTTTATGAATCAAGTAGAAAGCAAATGGGTGTTTGAGTTTTCAATACCTAATTAAATAGACAAAGTTTGCTGATCTCCAGATTTAAAACACTCCAATTTCAAGAATTTTTGTAAATAAAAAAGTTGTAGGTTACGATGAGATGAAGCTATTTACAAAGTTTTAGGCGGATGTTAATAATTTGATAAAAGGGGGACTATATAGGTAGGCTGGTTAAATGACCTTGACATCATGGTCATATATAAAAGGACACTGAAGGAGGTGTACCATGCACTGAAATAGCCAGCTCAAGAAACATGGTTTTAGTGTTAATGTAGTGAAAACTAAGTATATGCAAGCAGGAGCGAAAGAAGAAAAAGAGGAGTAAAGGAAGGAGATTGTCTGGGGTGGCGGTCATAAATAGGCTAAATAGTGGTAAAACTATTTTATTAAAAGCCAAATAGTTTTGCCACTATTTAGCCTATTTATGACCACCACCCCGGATCTTCCTTTATAATGCAACGGTCAACTATTAAATATTCAAAAAGAGGAGTACTTTGAAGTAGGTTAGTTTAGGTTCAAATGAGAAGAGTTTTCTTAGAACCAAGATGAAAATCAATAATGACATGTCCTAGGAGATCAGATGTTTGGAACCAATGAGAAGGGCTTTGTTCTTCTCAATGTTCAACCCAAAATTGCTGCTTGCTGCTCACATGTTTCGTCATCTTATAGCCTTCGGATCACCTCAAACATCTTGGTAGGATAAAGGAATTGTAGAGTAGGAGGTCATCAGCATATAAACCAGTAATGTTGTGAATGGAACCAGGGAAGTTGTTAATACAGATGAAGAGAAGGATTGTTGAGGTTGAAGATGCCGGAAGAACAGCACAACTTGGTAAGAAAAGTATGAGAAGGTGTTATATTGAGAATGATAACTTATGATACTCTATAAGACATTCGTTTAAACAGTTAATGTATGGCCCAGATGGCTGGACTATAAAAAAGGCTGCTGATATTGGAGAGGACAATCTACACAAGGGTCTTTGACCCATGCAAGTAGGTGAAGTATGGAGAACAAGCTATAACCGAGAACTGTACTATCTCTTCATTAACTCAGAAGATTGGAGGTATAATGATTTCCATGAGGATCTCTGTGGTCACAGCTTTTAAAACCAGAATAGGAAGATCTTTAATAACACAAAACGTTAACTAATAATTAATGAATTAATTTTGACAAAGAAAATAATTTTGGAAGTGATATTCTCATTAATTTTAATTGATAAATAACGGTTTCCCACAAAATTTGAATACAGAAAATAAAACTATAATTAATTTGAGAAAATATAATATTTTTTTAGTAAATGATGTTTAAATCAATTTTAAACTTTAATTTCATAAATTGAAAATTAATATAAAATTTTTATAAACAAAGTGTAACAAGCTGACTTTTAAGATATTGTCTACCAGATAGATAAGTATGCTGTGTCAGATAGTAACTCAACACAGTTGAGCAGCATTACAATTTTATTGTAAAAATACTATAATAATTTTTATCTTAGGAAAAAAAACAATAAATAAAAAATTAGTCAAACCTGTATAAGCTTCCTAGTCTTGGAAATAACCCAGGCCTCTTGATAGAATCTGCAGACATCAATCTATTCAAAACACAATTAATAAAATATAAATTATTATTTTTAAAAATTAACAATATATTTTATAAAAAAAAAAAAATGTTCCATTCCTTCATGAGATTTATTTTAGAAAATTGTTATGGAGCAACTATGATCATTTAAAAAATCACTCTATAAGAAAAAAATATTGACACAGAAAAAAAGAGATAGTAATAATAAATCCTAATAACTGGGAATAAAAATTGAAATAATAATGACAACACACCCGAAATCTTTAAGGAAAGTTCTAACAAATCATTAGTTACCATATATGGAACAAAAATTTACAATAGAAAATACAATTATCCATTTTTAACTACATCATTCCATGGCACACTCAGCCTTTAGAAACTGAGCATTTTTACTCCTAATTAATAGAACAAACTTGATAGTAGAGTATAATCATGGTTAAATCACCTCCTTACACAAATGTTGAGCAAGAAACAGTACTAGTACAGTCAATAAAAAAGTTACAGAGTGCGTGAGCAGGGACCTAAGCAATTCCTTCAGAAACTTGTTCAGGGTGCTTAGTGCATGTACATATTAAAAGTCCTGAAATCTATGTGGTGTGCCGAGGGGGGGGAAGGGGAGGTCACAATTTTTGGATTTTCGCTTATATCTCAAAAATGGTGCATCGTAGGAAAATATTTTCCCATAGTAAAGTTTATAAAATAATCTTAAACTTTTATTCTGTAAGTTTTATCCAAATTCTACACCGTTTTTGAGCTACAGGCTCAAAAAAATATGTCATACGCAAAATTTGATGCTCTACAACTTTGATTCTATGGGTTTTTCCTTTTAGGGAACTCATTTCGAAGTTACAGGGCCAATTATAGTAATTTGTCCCAGTTTTTTGCAAATTTGGTAAAACTCAGAGTTGGTTGACCGTGGTTTTATACCTTACCGCGAAACCAAATGTTGAAGTTTATGTACTCGTTTGACGCAAAATTTAACGTTCTTTAATTTATTAAAGTACACATTTTTCGCTTTGATGCGTTGTTTAGGAGTTATAGATGAAAAACCCAAAAAATATTGAAAAAATCTGACTTTGTTGGCTGTAAAAAGTTTTCCCTTGGTGGCCTGCATTAGCAATTTTGTTTTTTGCATGTCTAAACCCATATATACAAGTTAAAACAATAGAAACTTTTCTCACATTTTTCGTAATGGAATTCCCGTTTCGATCCTCAAATTATTGGCCTAATATTCTTTAAATCAGCCACCATTTTTGAAAGCAGCTGCTCCGGAACGGCAGACAAGGTTTTTTTTACTCAGAATAACACACACTTTCGTAATTTACAATCAAACCTTCGCCTGCGATCAGGTCGATTTTTGGGCCCTGGCTCCAGGGTTATCAGTAAAAAAAAAAAAAAAAGACAGATATTTCAATAAATATTTGAAATATTATTATTTTTATTCTTGGCATAATAAAAACAGTAAAAATTATTTTATTAGGGTCAAAGAAGTATCTGAGGAAATTTTTCATGGAGTTATATATACTGCATTTCAATAACAATAATTTTTTTAACTGATTTATTTAACTGATTGTTCCATGAATAGATGTTTTATTCAATTCGGTTCAAGTTATTTTCTAATAAAAATTCAAGTTTCTTAAAAAAAAAAAAAAGTTTATATATAGATGTGTGTGTGTGTAATTAATGGAAATTAAATATAGAAGTTAGACTGTACATTACTAAAAAAATATTTTAACAGTATTTAACAAGTTGTCCTACAATACCAGAATGAAACATTTTTTAAGTAAACCACAAAAAATTTAATTGAAAATCATTTCAAAGAAAGAAATAGATCATAAAAGCCTGATAATAACAAAGTAGAATAAACAATAAGTTTACCAAATGTGTCCTATTTGCATTCAAGTTGTATAAAATATAATTAAAAAAATAAATAAATAAACCAACCTAAAGAATGTGTGCTGGTCAACACAAACTTTCCAGAGGTTTTTAGCAGCTCTGCTGCTATCTAGTTTGAAACCAATAGTTGATTCATACTGTTCAAATTCACCAGGACGTATCTTAATGTAGAAATTATTACGCCTGTAAGAGATCTTCAAAATCTTGGGCCAAGCAAATCGATTAATACGCAACCTAGATATGATATGCACACAAAAAATACTTAAAATTATTCACATATATTTTAATCAAGAGCACAATTATATTTTTATGTGAATAATATATTAACCATAATAAAATAAACATATAAATGACTAGGTCATAAATAAAAGTGGTTAATGAGCGTAGTCTCAAGCTTTACCTAAAATTTTAATAATAAACCTGAACAGAAATAATTATAATTGCAATCAACAGAATTTTTTTTAAAACACATTCAGAGCAGTTAATTAATTAAAATAAATAAATCACTAGGGGGAAAATTTATAAGTCAAAATACTTTAAATATTATATAAAAATATAAACCTATAGAAAAACGAGAATATAAAAGATAATTTAAAATTTTTTTGACAGTGGAACATTATCATAGAACAAAATTCATCTAGTATTATGTAATTGTCCATAAATTGTTCATTTCATTGTTGTTTTTTTTCTAATGAACCACTCGTTCCTTTAATTTAGAACATAAATATGTCAGCTGTCACCTAAAATAATCCATTGAACCATTCTCATAGCCTATAAGAATGAGTCGATGAGTTATTTTAGATTATAAATGCATCCAGAATCCTAAAATTTGAGACATAGAGATAATAATAATAATAAAAACCATTCTTGAGCAATATGTTCTAACTGCCACACTTCAGTAAATCAGTTTAGGATGAAACCGGACATGACTATCTCCAAAGCCATCTATACCGTATTGGAGTTGTCGAATCAGCAATATGTCCACTGTGTCGACAAAGATTCATGACTGCTCTAGATCTACTGACTTGTTCCGGACGACAGGACATTAGAAACAAAGCCAAGACAGAAGGTGAAATTTACTGGGTTGCTATACATGGCAATATGTCACTACGTCTCAACATTGCTGAATTATTGACTGAAGAGTAATAGAATCACTATTTACTACACTAACAGCCAGGCAGTTATAGGAGAATTTAACAATTATTCAACAATCGAAGGTTGTAGAAGATTGCAATGGAATTCTAAACAACATTAATCAGCCTAACAACTCTGGTAAATCTAAGGTACTAAAACCTAAAAAAGACAGGTATGACAAAGAACAGCCTAACTCAAGACAGGATGTTCTTTAATTGCCCCAGTTATCTATTATTCACTATTATCTTTAAGCAAAATAATAATGAACTATACTACTGGCCACTATAAACTGAATTATCGTAAGTTCAAACTGAGGTTAACAAGAGTTACCCTGATATAGGAAGGTTCTGTCATAATCACCTGTTGATACAATAGATTTGCTGGACTTAGTTTCAGACTATTTGGAGTGGATCATCTGATGGAACAGAAGGATTGGAAGGTTGTCATTCCAACAAGACTATAACAGTTTTCTACTGCTACTAAAGTTACGTTTTAAAGAAAACATATAATAGCTTATGGTGCAAAAGGCCTCGTTAGGACATAAAGCATTTTGCCAGATGTATAAGAAAAATATTAACATACGTGAAAATGTGATTGCAGTAAGAAAATATACCCATCTTTTATCTAGATGTTTCAAACTTTAATCATTAAAGCACCAAATTATATATTTATCCAATATAAAAATTACATTAGTTACACAAAATGTAACAAAGCTATGCAAAATTTAAGTATTTGTCATTCTCATGCAATTAGATATATTTTAGATGACATAATACTAATAATAATAATTTCCAAGAACAAATTTGAATAAGATCAGCTAACAAATCTGTAGGGGATGACGGACTGCTATTGAACTAGGCTTAGAAAAAAAGATTATCACACGAAAATCTCTATAGAATCAATCCATCCTTCATACCTAAGAAAATAATATTTTACTATTAAGGTTAGTAGATTTAAAGTTGATATTTGTCTAGTTAAACTAATTATTGAAAGAGAGTTGAATAGACAAATAATTTACTTGACAGATATTTCACTCATGGATGCAAAAATCTATAACATACAAATTAAAAAACAAAACAAAGAAACAACTAACATGTCCCTGTATACAAGAAGACCAGTTGAGCATACCCCAAGTTGAATGTCAACGCCTTCAGAATCCTTTGCAGGGTGTAGGTCAACCCCATACATAGCCAACTTCTTAGCATTCTCAAGATAATGCAGTTCTGCCTCAGCTGGTGTCTGTCCCCTGGAAAACATTAATAGCTATCACTATTTTTAACTTTGGGCTAATCAGTCTTTAAAAAGGAAATAGATCAAACCTTAATCTTTTCTTCAATAAGTATCTTACCTCACACATAAATTCAATTAGGAATTAATTAGTATAACAAGTGTAAAACTCATCAATAATTACAAATTTAATGAGAAATAATACTGTTCTAGACTAAGCAGTGAGTAGAATTAGTTTAATGATAAAAACCGAAAAAGAAATTTAAGAATTTTGAATATAAATATATACATTATGTTATAGCTTATAATACATAGACAATTTTTAAATTAACTGGAAAACGTTGCATAATTTTTGTCCTTAAAAATCGTTGTTAAGTTGAGAACCCACAGAGTACGCATCTCATGTAGCAATCGGCTGGGCTGATTATCAACTAGTTCTAATTCAGTAAGAATTTTAGTTACTCTGTTTCCTTAGTTCAAACTTCCATTGTAGCCATTCCATTGGATAAGCAAATGAGAAAGGAAAGTTGCTTAAATAAATATCTGAAATCAGTTTCTCAACTTCAGAATCTAATGATGCTATAACATAATAACCAAGGCCCGGATTTTTATGCAGTAAAAACCCGCATAATATGCCATACAATATGCAGTAAAACCTCTGAAATATGCATTTAAAAAACCCATAAAAAATACAGTAACTAATCTCTAAATACGCTAAACTCACTAATTAATTGATTATTAATCTGCAAGTAAAGGATTTAAATACACTTATGTACCTACAAAAAGTTTTAAAATAAATTATGGAGAGAGTTAAAAGTTACAATAATTTCAGTTTTTTTTTTAAAGTATCTAAACTAAAGAATGAAATAAATAAAGACGACAAAATAAATGTCTTATTCGTGTGTTCTTCCAAGTTAATGTGTTTCTCATTATAAAAAAAATTAAATTATATTTTGTTTAAATCTTGGAGGAACAATTGTCAGACACTTAGTGAAAACATCTAAAAATATTCCAGTTAAAAAAATATTAATTATTAACACATTATAATTTATTAATTATAATTGGGAATTTCAGCGATAAACTTCTGTTGATCAGATTTAATTACTGTTTTAAAATCTATAAATTATTTAGGTAATAAATTTAACATTAGTCAATTTTATCTTCACGAGCAAAAATTAGAATGTATTTCTTGCGAAGGTTAAGGGGGTTTATAGCACAAACATACATTTTGTCAGTTTCATCCAAATAGTCACTAAGAAGTACTTTTGATAAAGCCAACATTTTGAAAAATATTTGTAAATTACGATCGACAAAAACTCCTTGAGTGTATTCACAATAAGATAAATATTACATCTCAAAATTAGTCACACTAAGTTCACAATGCAATGTTTTGATTTCACAGAGAGAGAATTAATCAAAATACTTGTATAAATTGATGATTTTTTTTCAACAAACCGAAGATATGCATTTGTTCCTACATAAAACAAATATTTCATTAATAACCCTTCTTTTCAATTGTTTTTGCCAACCCTTCCACTTTTTACTTTCACTTACCTATATATAAAATATATAGTAAAGGAAAGTATTGTGATCGTGAAAATTTTTGAATCTCGGTTTTCAACGGAAAAACACGTTTTGAGGTCCCCTGAGTCCAAATAACCAAGTCCCGCAAAATGGTCTCTTTGTGTGTTAACAGTCTAGCTCAAAAACGAAAAGTCGTACGAAAGCGAAATTTCATATTTAAAGTTTTTATATGCTAGGGATGTTACAGTAACTTTTTGGTCAAAATCGACTGACCGGAAGTGGCACTTTATATCATAGGTTAAACACATTTTTACAATTTTCTCGGAAACGGCTCTAATGATTTTGATTAAATTCATTATATCAGTGTAAAATTAGGCATTTTGAATAAAATGCAGTTTTTATTCTGATTGATGTTCTCTAACTGGGCTTAAATGGCTAATTTTCAATATTAGCTTCTTCTAAAGTACCTTTAATTTGTTTTATTTGAAACAATTGACTATTTAACATAAATCTTTAACATAAAAGATAGTTAAATATAAAATAATTTGATAATTAACTAAAGGAGAAATACAAAATCGTAACAGAGAATAGTTGTAATTGATCGTACCCGAGCTCGCCCGAAAGATTTTAACAGGCTTCCATAAATAACATGGGCTTAATATAATATGGACTCCGACAATATTACATAAATATACATATGCAGTTTTCATAAATGCTATTGTTGGTATTATTTAATATTTAATTGTATAGATGACACCAATATAAATATTAAAATTTGTATGTATAGGGGTACTTATACAAATAAAAATACCCACAATGAATTATAAATAATTATAGTGTCTATAATTTTTACTTTCACTTCTCCTTTGTCTGAAAATACTTATTTCCGCTAAGAAGAGGGTGGTGGTAAGTGAAAGTTGTGTGATGCACACATCGCAAAAGATTTTTTTTTTATGTCTATAGATACAAAGCATGTTATTTGAAAATAGGTTATTTTAAGAAATGGTTCTATGATCTAATTACGGCTTAAAAGCAAAGCTAATTACAATCGAGTTCACCTATATTGACTTGTTGATCAATCTGATTTTCTTTCACTTGCAACTTGTTTTAAACAATAGTTGCATAAAACAACTATTCCATCAGTTGTAAAAAATGTTTCATGTGTATTATTATACGGTTCAATCCAGGATTTCAACTTAGACAAAAATGAAGAACTTACTCATCGCATTTTAGCAAACAGGTTTGTGAATCTTTTAAAGAACGTTAACAACAAACAGAAGTAGAAACTTAGTGTGATGTTGAGATGGGAGAAGAACGAGAAATGGATTTCCGGGAATAGGTAAACATGAACGAAGAGAATTATTGAAGCTTATAGTGAAAGATACGTATAAAGTCTACAAATGTGGTAGATTTTGTTGTATTGTTTATTGAAAATAAACCTACAATTATAATCTTAAATTGCGTCTTCAATGTGGCATTTTAATTTGTATATATATAAATATTCATTTATATATTTTTATATTGTTAAATTAATCAAAATATGCAATTATATGCTTTTATCCTCAAATATGCAAATATAAGCATTTATCCTCAAATATGCAAAATAAAATTTGGCTAATTGCATCACAGCGTACTATTTCGTAAAGATTTTTGATCAGTGGTTAAAAAAGACCACGCAAACAAAATATGCTATTGCATAAAAATCCGGTTTCAGAAAGTAAAAATTCAGAAAGAAGGTTCAGCGTCCCACAAGGCTCTCCCAAGAAACATATCGAAGAAAAAGACGCGAAGAGAAGAGATTATTCCGCGGAAAGAGAAGAGCTTGGGAAAACAAGAACATGGTGGATATAGAGGCATTGCGCGGCCAAAATGAAAGTCGGCTGTTTTTTCAGAGAATAAACGAGGGTAGGGCAGCTTTCAGGCCCAGAGTGACGGCATGCAAAGACACGAATGGATCTCTTTTAAGCCACAAAGATGACGTACTAAGGAGATGGGTACAACATTTTAAAGACGCATTAAACAGAGGAACGGTGCCTGGAGAAGTAGGAGTAATGAGGGAAGACTCCCTGAATTCTATTGAACCCCCGGATGAGGAGGAAATGGAAAATGCCCTGATGAAATTGAAAAATGGAAAGGCGCCAGGCCCGGACGGAATCCAGTCAGAGCTGTTGAAATGTGGAGGTGAAGAACTTAAGAAAGCTCTGCATGATTTAATGCTGACCATCTGGGAGAGGGAAGCTATGCCTACGGAATGGGCAACAGCCATTATCTGCCCAATACATAAGAAAGGAGATCAAACAGAATGCGCTAACTATCGAGGAATCTCACTCCTTTCGTGTGCTTATAAACTGCTCTCTAACATTCTTTTTGAGAGGATTCTCCCGTATTCTGAAAAGGAACTGGGGAAATATCAGGCTGGATTTCGAAGAGGACGCTCAACCACTGATCAACTGTTCTCTCTGAGGATGATCCTAGAAAAGACTATGGAGCATAAGGTAGTCACCCACCATTTATTCCTAGACTTTAAAGCAGCATACGACAGCGTTGATAGAACGCAACTATACTGTGCCTTGGAGGAGCTAAGCATCCCTCAGAAGCTCGTACGCCTAATCAAGATGACCATGGACAGCTCGAGATGTAGAATACGCGTCGGTTCTGACGACTCCGAAGAGTTTAAAGTGAGCAGTGGGGTTAGGCAAGGGGATGCCCTCGCCTGTCTATTGTTCAACTTGGCAGAGGAGAAAGCTGTAAGAGACTCCGGTATTCAGACCAACGATATAATCTTCAATCGCCTGACACAGCTTCTTGGTTTTGCTGATGATATTGACATAATGGGTAGGTCTGAACAGGCTCTCAGAGAAGCGTTTATAGGCCTTGAAGCAGCTGCAAGACCACTTGGTCTAGAAGTCAACGAGAGGAAAACTAAGTATATGAGAGTTGGTGGTGAGGTGGATCTGAACTCTCCATTTGAGGTAGGTTCTTTTAAGTTTGAGAGAGTGAAAAGTTTTATATACCTTGGGTCTGAAATTAATAGCAAAAATGACATGGCTCAAGAAATACAAAGAAGGATCACGGCTGCCAATAGATGTGTCTATGGACTTGGCCGACACTTAAGAAGTAGGTACCTCTCAAAGAAGACCAAGCTGATCATATACAAGACTCTTGTTCGGCCTGTTTTGACATATGGCTCAGAGGCTTGGACGATGACCAAAAACGATGAGATGAAGCTGAGTGTGTTTGAGCGAGGAGTCCTCAGAAGGATTTATGGTCCAGTAAAGGAGGGTGATGTCTGGAGGAAAAGAAAAAATAGGGAGCTCAGTTCTCTCTATGCAGACATCGACGTAGTCACCTATATTAAACTGGCCAGACTAAGGTGGGCAGGGCATGTGGCCAGAATGAGCACCGTTGAGATACCCAAGAAAATAATGATGGAGGAGCTGCACCTCGCAAGACGGGTAGGAAGGCCGAGGACGAGGTGGTTGGACAACGTGGCCTATGATGCAAGAACCCTGCTTGGTGTACGGAACTGGAGAGCTGCAGCAGAAGACAGAGCCAACTGGCGGAGGCTCTTGGAGGAGGCCCAGTCTCGGTAACGGGATGTCGTGCCACACATGAATAAAAATCCGGGCTTTGATAATAACTATGATGTTATATTGCAATTAGAAAATTTGGCTTTTGATATTTTTGCACTAGAATGGTATAATTGCAATGGATATCTGATTTATTTCATAACTTTAACTGAATGTCTTATTTCAATGTTGTCAAAATATGGCATAGTGATTGTAATATTGAAAAAAATCTTGATACGCTTCACTCACAAAAATATAATCCAAATCACAGATCACCACTAGTTAAAATGATAACACACTAATTAACAACTAAGAAAGAATGATTTTTTTTTTTAAACAGCACATTTTAAAAACCATAAATGAAATAATAATTGTTGCCATGGTTACATATGTTGATAGTCATTACAATCCCACTTCGCTTGTAATAAAAACCTTCTGGACAGAAAAATTACTCGTAGTAGTGTGACATATTACAGACACTTACAGCAAACAACAATGGACTGGTCGCGTAAAGTAAAGTTAATGATTCGTGCTCTGATAGATATGTAGAGACAAGATATCAGCTTATCTGCTGGATTACAGTGTCTACTGTTTAATACATATATTGTAACATCCCTCTTATATTTCACAAATAATAATAATAATAACCTAGGAAGCTCACTTCTTACCATTGGGATACTTCCTAAATAAATAAGAGGTTGTTTAATAATAAACAAAATTATAAGAGAATTAATATATTTATTTATCTCAGGTGTGGGTTACTGAAAATCAGATCAACTCAGACAAACTATTATTTACACTATTTATACTAAAATTAAACACTGATTGATTTTAAAATAAAGTCAAATATGGTTTGGCAAGCTAACCTTTTTCTATATTATATGTTTCTTCCTTTGTGACACTGAACTCATTTGCCTTCAAACACTTTCTAAAGTTCTGCCAAACAACTCTTCCAAATTGGTAACACAATTACTGGGTTTTTCCCACTGGAGCCAGGATCACTTCTATCCTCTCTTCACTGCAGTCACACAACAACTGCTTGCCAAAATAAAAACCTTTGTCCCTCTCCTCTTTGGGATTTTCCTTCTTGGGAAACTACAGAGAAGCCATTTTCTTTTCCCTGCACTAGTAGAACTAGATTAGCTTGCCTTTTAATTGTTCAACATTAATTTATTAAATAATTTTTACCCACTTCCAATAAAGGTGTATGTTACAATATATATATATATATATATATATATATATATATATATATAGACATACACCCAAATATATAAAAGTTGTAATGAAAGTACATACTAATTCCACAGGATCCAAATGACACTTTGGTCAAATCAATAAAGTCAAGTCTCCATAAAATTCTACCGGTTCTCCTTTTCATTTACGATTTCTCCCTTCATAATTCAGAGTTTTCTGTCTCTTGGAAAAGGCCATTATCCTTCCTTTAAATAAAATTCTAACCCATCTTTTCCCCAAGATTTCTGATTAACCTTAATCCTTTCCAATCTCTCAAAAATCCTGGAAAGACTAGTGCAATTCCAAGTTTATAACTTACTCGAAAAGTCCAACCAACTTAATCCAAAAACAGTATTTTCTAAGCACATACCTATAGTGGATTATTAACACCCATTCTCCTTCTAATGCTTACGATCTTCGATTCAAGTCCACTGTCAACTTTCTTACCACAGCATCTCGACTTCCTGACTTTATACTCCTTTTCACAGATCTACCTCTTTCCAAAATTCCTTTGTTGCCTGCTCTAATATTAAATAAATTTCAAGAGCAGACCCATGTTACATGCCGAATGAAGCGAGGATTGCAAAAATGCCACCCTTACTGCTCTGAAGTTCTCAGGTGATCTGATGGGACATGCATCTTACTTCTTTTTTTTCTGCTCAGAACCAGTTTCCCTGAATGTTGTGATCCACACAAGAGTTAATTTCTGAGACAGGACCCAATGGCACAATATTGAAGTGATATTAGAAGGCCTGGCAGGTTGAAAGCACCGAATGGTTGTTGGAAAATAATCCTCCATGGAAAATGCTCTTATTTAGCTTTGGAATAACAGTATGTTTTGGCGTTGAAGCCTGAGTCCTCTGTAGCATAGCTAATAAAATAAATTCTAAACTAAATACTTTTTCAGAAATATCCAGAAATGGCGATGAAATAAAAAATGAAAATATATCTTGGGTGAAAGTATTGTAGCTGGAAACACTATTCTAAGCTATAAAGTATAAGATAACCAATGGTATAAAAGTTAGACACTGGCAGGTCATGAGGTAGTAGTGTATTCGCTCTAGTGATGTAACTCTGTCCCCACCATTTTTCTTTAACCCACATCTTTTCAAATATGCATCAGAAATATTTTGGGAGTTTTTGCATTTTTATTGTTACAACATAATCTTCATCGACAAATAAAAATTGAAAATTCATGCTAGTATCCAATTAGAAATTAATAAGTAGATATATTAAATTTCAGTTAACAGAATTAATTAAAAAAAAAATGTATACTTACTTATGGGCTTTATGCAAGTTCATTACTTTCTCTTCCAGTCCTGGAGCTGGTTTAGGGCAGAACTTGAACTTCGATAAATACGAAGAATCTGGATAATCCTCTTGAGAAAAGTCTCCTAATTCAGATTGTACCAAATAAGATCCAAGCAGAGCATGGGTGACAAAACTGCAAGGTAATCTAAAACAGAAACAAAAATGCTTAAGCATACCAGAAATTCAGAGTTACTAGATTGAAAATAAACTTCAATTGTAACTAACTTTCCACTAAGAATGTCATTTCTCACTTGAAGACACAAAAGGTACCTAAAAATTAAAGTAAATCAATCTCATAAAAAAACACCATAGAATACAGTTTTTTTTTTTCTTCTAATGATAATAATAATCTTGCCTAGTTATATCCTCTTGCAGTTGAGAAGGATCTTTGGGATAGAATTTTACTTCAAAATCCAAGTTCCATGTATCCCCTAAAATAAAGATTTATGTATATATAAACACATAATATAAAAAAAATTAATATTATTATTAATATTAAATTATTATTTTTAGTATACACATAGTAACACAAGGCAGAACTGCAGAAAGATATATTTTTAAGCGACTGCTTACATCCATCCTGACTGTACGCCACTTCAATCTATACAGAAATTTTAGGTCTAGGTATATTTTCAGCTATTAACAACTAACTAGTTGTAATGATACAAATCAGGAAAGCTTATCACAGTATCCTGCTTAGGCGATTAAAACTGACACTGCTAAGAAAAGTTTTTCACTTACATAAAGATTATTAAAAGCAAGGGATGAGGGAAGAAGAGAATATAACCAGCGATTAATCCGATACTGTCCACTATATCTAGTCTTAGAGTATCTCTCTATCAGTCAAGAGCTTAACTAGTGCTTCTCCCTATCTTATATGATTTAAACAGTGACTTGAAGACTTTTCTGCTATTTTTATTAACAATTACTTCGTTTCGTAATATCACATTAATATTACAATACAGTTATTTATGGTGATATTAGTTATATAGTGAAAAAAAAAAAAAAAAGGACGTGATAGAAGCAGCTGAGTTGGAGTAGTGGGGATAGCTAGCATCAGCCTAATCCTACCAGCCTTCACCCAAACAAACAGGTGCCTTTGTTGTTGTTATTACTTTAGTTTTCTCTCATTTTAAAGCAATTGTGACATATTTATCTATTTTATTTTTTCAAAATGGTTAATTGCAAACTATGCGGAAAAACGGCAGGTAGAGAAGACAAGACTAAATTGGCTTGTGTCACATGTCAAAACATCTTTCATGCTAAATGCACGAAAATTGATTTGACAGACTCAGAAGGCCTAAAAGAAGCCAGTAAAAAATGGAAGTGCACCGATTGCGAAACAGGGTCGCGTACATTACCAATCACTGAGCCTAATACCATGATAGACCTACTGAGGACTCTGGCCGAGAAAGTAAGGGAATTGAAGTCCAAGCTTCAGGGTTTAGACGAACTAAAAGAAATAAAAGAAACCCACCAGAAACAATCGGAACTATCTTTCGAGAATATGGAGCGATTATTAAAAATTGAAACACTCCTGGAAGAGCAAAAAACCCATACTGAAAAATTAACCAAAGAAAATAACACATTGAAATCAAAAATATCCGAGCTGGAAAGCCGCCTGAATTTCACACAACAATTTCAACTGAAAAATACAATTGAAATTAGAGGAATTCCGGAGAAGGCCGGCGAAACCGTAACTGGCGCGATTCTTAGCGTCGGAGCGGGTCTGGGCGTCAAGTTGAGTCCGGACGATCTCGATCACGCCGTGAGACTAAGACCCAAGCAAGAAGGGACTCCAGGCCCAATTATAGTCAGATTTGTCAGACAAGCGGTGAGAGATGAGCTGGTGCGGCAACGAAGAGCGAAGAGAGATTTCTCTACGCGCCATCTAGGCTGGGGAGAGAACGACTCGCACCGCGTCTACGTGAGTGAAGCTATGACGTCCACCAATAAACACCTTTATTGGTTAGCCAGGCAGAAGAGGGTGACGGCAAAAATAAGATACCTCTGGTTCAGTGGGGGTAAAATTCGTTGCAGACAATCAGATGGAGGTCCAGTAGTAATTATAGAAAAACCAAGTGATCTGGACGTTTTCAGCTGAACTCTGTATATAAGTTACCTTCAGCTTGCAATTAATTTACTTTCTCTCGCTAGAAATATATTTATTATATTTTTTTCATTTCCAGCTTTCTTTATTTTTTTATAAATGTAGCTTCTCTTGTTGTTTTTTGTATCAATTTTTACTCATCAGAAATATTATTATTTTAATTTTAAGCTTCTTTTATTTTTGTATAAATTATTTAGAACTTTATTCGATTCCTTGCCAATTTTTATCAATTTATCTAGACCAAGGAGAAATTTATAGTTTCTTATGTTATAAATTAATTTTAACTGAATATTTATTTCCAAACACCGAAAATTAATTTTTTTTCATCTCAAAGTTTATTTTATGTAAGCATTGTTTTTTTATATTTATAAACTTGACATTATGCTTAAAAAATGCTATATCCTATCCTTCATCCTTGATCATTTTTTTTTTTTCCCAAAGTCCTACATCCCAACCCTCCAGTCATGACGAATATCCTGAATTCCTGTCACATCAATGCACAATCCCTTACTGCACACTAGAATGAATTTCAGGAACATTTCCTTGATAATTTTTACCACATAATAGCAATATCCGAAACCTAGTTAAAACCTTTTATCCCTTACTCCCAGATTTCCCTACCTATTATTCCTTCCTACTATTGTAATAGTATAGAAAAGTAAAATTGTAAATAGTTACTACTGCAAATATGTATATAAATTATTAGAGCGTAAGTAACTTATAATTTTTTCTATTATTATTTTTTTTATTTTGACTATTTAATTACTGTATATTTTTGTTTATGTATCTCTAAGGCTCCTTAGCCCATATTATTGTCTTTTTATATTATTCTAAAGGGACTTGTCCCAGAATAAATAAAGCATTATTATTATTATTATTATTATATCTAATGGATGAATTGTTTTTTCGTATTCTCAAATACTAAAATCTATGGTAAGGTGGACAGCAGAAATATATACAATATATTTATAAATATATACTACTCCACTAACAGTAATCACAAAATCTAATTTTAAATTAAAAATAGGAGAAAAAGTATAAAATTCTGCCTGAACATAAAAAATCAAACTTTGTATTAATGTTTATCCGGTGGAGATACAACAAAAATTGAAAGGAGTAATAGATCTTGCAAAAGCCATGGCTACTTGTGCAATCCGTTAATTGGTAGGTATTACCATTAAGTCACAATACTTCTTCAAAAATAGTTCTTACCAATTGGGTAAGAATTATTTTTATGTTTAGTTTTTTAGTTAGATATGATCATGATTTTTGAAAATTTTTTATTTGTTACTGGCTTAAAGCTATAAGTTTGCTAATTTTCAAGTTTATGGTTTAACTACTAAGCAGACGAGAATTTGTACAAATAAGGGAGTGAGGGAGAAAATGGATTGATATGAATGTGTTAGTGAGTCGCTAAAGGGGTTGTAAAGTATTTGGATACTTTTCCTCCTATTTTTGAATATTATTACACAATTAATGGACATGGACAGCTTTCGAACTCAGTAGGCCTATCGAAGCCAATAAGATTTTCAATTTTGGTTCCATGACTTTACTATATCTCTTTATATCGGTTAAAACTTATATAGAGCTAGATTCTTAAAACTATGAATTTTTATAGAGTTTTATTGAAAACTCCAAAGCAATGAATTCTTCCTATAAATAAGAATATTGTTTTAAGAATTAAATAATATTAAATTCTGGGTCAGATGGGTGCTAAATATTGAATTCCGGTTTAGGATTTTGACAGAATAAGAATTATGGTCGCTCAAGGGGTTGTATAGTATGTGGCCGAGATATGTAAGGTACTCTCTAAACACTAAATTTGATGCTCTACAATTTAAAATTAAATGATTTTGAATTTAGAACATGCATTTGTAAATGACTAAAAAACTATATACTAACATATGTTGTACATCACTATATTAAATATCTTAGCTAAATATCCAAAAGTTACTGTTTTATAACTACCAATTTTGACCACATTCCTGGCCCAAACTGATGATATTAGGCACAACTTTGACACATAGTATAGTTTAAAAGTTATGAATCCATAAATATGTTTTTTTAGCTTCTAGCTAGGAAAAACTTGAGAATTAAAGTATAACTTAACCTCATGTCAAGGAATGTTGCAAAACTTGTATAATATTTTAATGTCAAATAAAGAAATTAAAATTATGTTCTACTTTTACAATGTATTCTTCAAGTGAAAATCCTTAGTTTTAATGGTCTACTCAGGCTACTTCCACAAAAAATAAAAATAAAATAAATAAATTTAAAAAAAGTAAAAGCTTAAATATATATATCTACACACACATATACATACTCTATCAATATCTTAATATCATTAACAGGTAAAAATAAACCTTGTTTACCCTTCAACACTTTTCCAACTCTCTTGTCCAAGTCAAGCCATGTCCTACGCCCGGCCTTGTCTTTGAAGCTGAGTCCAAAATAATCTTTCTCTTGAAGATCCAAATGATCACATACTTCATTAAAGATTTTTTCACCTTTTCCTTTTCTCTGTAGCAATGATAAATGAATAATATTAATTCAAATATAGTAAAAACAACTAATTTTTATTATCATTAATTAATTTATTGATAACATCAAACAATCGAAGGTCTTATTACTTATTAATTTAATAAGATGATTGTGAAACTATAAAAAGTTGTGTTTTTCTCATTACTACTTGTAGGACATAAGTACAACTGGTTCTAAAGAGTAAACACAAATTTATATTATTTCTTTAAAAAGCTATGGAAACCATAGGAGAGAAAACAAAATAAAGTTTTTAGACTCATAAGGGATTAAAAGACTACTACAATAAATATAAAATTTATAGTCCAACCACGTACTAATGCATACCTTGACTGCTAAACTGTGAGCTTTTTTAATACACATGTTATTGTTAAATCTCTAGAATACAGGCTTCTTTTTTGGTTTGATTAAAGATATAATTTATCTTAAATGAATTATTTGATTCTAATGTGCCATTTCTTTGAGTAGCTAAGATAAAAAAGTTATCATATTTAGAATTTTTTTTTAAAAGAAAGCAACAGAATTTTCAAATAAAAGTTCTGCAAAACCTTTACTTGAAAAGTTGCAAGGAAAAAGTCCGAGTTCCGAAATAACAGAAAACAGTTAAAAATTAAGATTCCAGTTATACCAAAATTGATTAAAAATAAAAGTTTAAATTTCATTTTAAGCCTTGAATTAAATAGTTTATTAGGTAGACATCATGTATTAGCAATAGTGAGCTGAAAACTCCACTCGTCATAACTAGGAGAATTTTTTGTTTAAGAGCTTATTTTGATTTTATTTGAACACTGTTTATCATCCGAAATGTGGTAATCATAAAATTGTTGGGAATACAAAATGAATATAATTTCCTTTGAACTACATGGGATTGCATGATAGTTGTAAAAGTCGAAGGAAGAAAATCCTACCTCCCTACTCTACGTCATTAATGCTGCTTGTATTCTGAATAAGCAAACAGCAATGTTAGTGCAATAAGCAATGTTAATGAATATTCAGACAGATTCATTAACATTCATACCATTCCTTGATATTTTATTTCAGAAATACCTACGATACAGCAAATATAAGCAACCTATAATCCTCTTGCCACAAGAGATAGATGGCATCAATGCCTATTTAAAGTAATTGCTGATTATTGAAAATAAACATTTCTAAAACATAATAACAATAAAATGTAGATAAATAAACCTGCTAATTGCTGTAATTATTTTCATGGAAACGTAAATATTAGGATTAGGAACATTTAGTTGGCCACTTGAAACGTGGATTAATTCCCATAATTGAGATCTGAGTGAAAAAACATAGTTTTATTATCACTTTAGATGATAAATATTTGAAAAATTGTCATTTTTAACATTTTTTGTAAAATTAAGTCTACTATAATACATGAAAAATAAAAGGAAATTAAACCTTTGTAATAATTTATTGTAGTAATTTTTGCTAGAAGATTTGCGATTTTTTTGTTTTAATACGAATCATTATCATACCTCAATGTTGATTTCCAGAGTCTTGCCATCCAAAAGAGTGACAGTTGCCATAGCTGGTTTACCTCCTTTAGCCGGAGTAAGACGTTTCACTGGTTCTGAATTTGGTTCTTCTGGCATCCTGCACCAGTAGAAGTTTAATTACTATTGATTTAGAACCGCAATATACTATTTACTAATGAAATATATTATACACAGTTGGGGACAAAAGTCTGTATACACCTAAAAGTCAACTGAATAAGAAATAATGGAACAGCCGGTGACAAGGAAAGATGTTATAATTGAATGTAGAATCATATTTCATATATATTCAAGTAATAACCACACACTTATATTTAAAAAAAGTTTATAGTTTAGGAAAAATAAAATATCTCTTTTAGAAAAACACAGAAATAAAGTCTATAAACACCAGAATAAATAATCACAAAAATTAACAATGATTGAAAAATTAAGCAGAGCGTTGCTCTCTCCTCAGATACAATTACAGCAGTAAGTATTCCAGGCATATAATGGAAAATATTTTAAATAGTATTTGGAGATTGTTTATTCCATTCCATCAAAATTGTTTTTTTCAAATAAATTTACTTTTTTTTTTTGGGTCCTCCCCTTCCTCGCTGTTAAGGCTATAAGGGGTTCTCCCGGGCCAGGGGGTGTGGGCGGGGATTTAAAAGATACCCTGGCACCGGGACGCGAATTCATGACTATTTTTATAACTTTTTTTTTTTTTTTTTTTTTTTTTTTTTGTTCTTCCCTACCTCGCCTTTAAGGCTACACGGGATTTTCCCGGGCCGGGGGGTGAGGGCGGGGAAATTTAAATCCCCTCCGGCACCGGGATGCGAACTCGTACTTTTTATATCATCTCAAATCTCTGTTATCCGGTTGCCAGGCAACTTGCGTGCTGTTACACACGCTTTAGCCTATTCGGCCACCCCGCCCCCTAAACTATTTTTATAACATATTGTCATTGTCATATATCAGGTTGCCGGGCAACGGTGGTGCTGTGCATTCAGCCACCCCACCCACTATTTAACTTTATTTCACCCCACTAAAGCTCATTAATGTTTAGAGTAAGACTGGTGGCTGTCTCCCAACTGGCTTCCGGCAGTGCCTGATGGAACACCCTGAAGAACACCTACAACGCAGGTCAAAACATTGGAAAATACAAAAGAAAAACACCCATTATAAGATTTAGTATTCTATACTAACCGCACCCCCGACCAACTTTGGAAATTTTTAATTTTCATTTCTTTGTGCAAAAACATTTTTATTTTATCTTATAGGACAATCAGAGAAGAGTTATTTAATATAATAAATATTATAGATTTAAATTCTATTTCATTTAGATTAGTAAAATAGGCATTTTATGTTAATTTTCTTTTTTAAAGTTTAAATAATTTTAACCATATATGTATGCAAAATATTTTTTGTTTACTTTTATATTATTTTAATTCTACAGTACACGGAAGTTAATTTTGTCTGACTATTTCAAATATAGTTCCTTCAAACAATATACATCACATAAACATACTTAGATAAGAGGTGCTAGAACGTTGAATCTTATAACAGGGTGAGCAATAAGATGACAAGATGTGGAGAGCAAGAAGATGCCAGGGTTCACTCAGTAAATACAAAAAAAAAAAATTAAATTTAATTCTTCATCTATACACAAATAAAATTTGAATTCGGACACAATTATTTATTAGAAAAAGGACAACAGTGAAATCCTAAAAAAACATACATGAATCTAAATAAAGTAACAACCTGGATAAAAAATAAATTTAATATAATAATTTCCTAACCATATAGCATCGTGTATATATTTACATTGATTTAAATAAAAAATAAAAATTAGGTTTTATTTAACATCAACTCACCATCCGTAATTCCATTTCCAGAGAGACCAAGTTTACACATAATTAGTAGTAATTGCTTCCCTACACTTTTTATAATAACTGTTAATAATGTTTAAAAAACAAAATCAAACACTTTTTTAAATAAAATGCTTTGCTTGATATCAATATGATTAAAAAAAATAAATTCCAGATGGTTTAAAAATACAAAAATGTATCAAACTTATAATATCTACACCTAACTATTAAAGACTAAGTTTTCAATTCTATATCTTTAAAACCCTACGAAAAATGGATCTCTACCCATAAATAATAAATATCTACCCACATATTTTGTAGAAGCTTTTTAAGTACGTCGCTTTTCACTCTCGTGCTTTCGCGGTTTGGCATGTCACTTCACTATAAAATGACTTTACCAAAAAGGGTAATATCTTAACAACACATTTTGGATTTAAAAAAATATATATATACATAGATACAATTAAATCAAATAATATCAGCTTCAATTTTATCTTAACATTTGATTTTAAGCAAACATCTGTTCCATTATAACCAATAACAGTAACAATAATACATAGTTACAAAAGTTTTTAATGTATTTTTTTTCAAATTTATAATTTGAAAAAATAATTAAAATGAATAATTAAGTTTAAAGTACCAATAATGAATTTTCTTAATTTTTATGGTGATGTTTCGAACATAAAATCTAGTCAGATTGTGATAAGAAAATATCATAAAGATAACTGTCTTGATAAAAATGAAGTTATTGAAACAACATCCCAAAAATGGAATGTCCACTTAAGACCTTGATTGGCATCTTTTCAGTCATTAAAAGCGAACAGTGTGGGTAGTAGTCACTTTACAGCTCATCACTTTATGAATTAATTTGTCATGTATTTCTATCTTCATAATACAAAATAAAAAATTTAAGAGCTGCTCCATAGTAAAATTGACATCGATAACTATGGTGTAAGTTGATCATATATATTATAAGGGAAGAGAAAATCCTTTAAAAATATTGTAAGTAATTGTGATGTACACTGAACAATTAACTAAAAAAAATATATGAAAAAAACTAAATCTATCAAATTTTTTTGCAATTTATCTTTATAATTATAATATTTGAACAGAAATAATAATGGGAAATTTGTAAGTAAAAAAACTTTTAAATGTAATAAAATGATATTTATCTTCCAAATTTTAACAAAAGAGATTTTGATTTTAATAACCAAGAAAATTTGATAGATGAAAATACAACATAAACAACATTGCTCTGCACCCCATTAGTATGATTTCTTAATGAGAATATTTTAGTTGTATCTTTTAAGTATCAAATTTTAATATATTTATTCCCGAAAACTACTTGCAGAACAGAGTCAACATGAAAAAAATAAGATAAATCAGCTTATTAAGAATCAGTAGCCAAGAAAACTCACTTCATATGGAAAATAAACTTAATCACATAAAAAGAAAGAACTCTGCAATGTTTGTAAACAATTTATCTTTAATAACCTTTATCGTATCCTACTCCACTCCAAGACATTTAATGAATGTAGAGAGAAATATCTGAGGCAATTCTCAATATTACCGGTGTGGGTTAACAAATAAAACATATTATTTTATATGCCTATGTATAAATCAATCAGGTTGAATTGTAAATGCTATAACAGGAAATATTTTTTAAGTATTTCAATTACTGCCTAGTTTTCTTTTCTCTATGTACATATATGTATCTTCTTCGCTCAAATGAATTTTGTATAAGTTTGAATAAGAGTAATAGAGAAAGTAGCAAAAATAAAAGTTTGTTTCATTTATATCTGAAATTAGTTCCTTTATTGGCTAGCAATTATAAATAATAATTTTTTCTAATTTCTTGGTAAACATGTAAGAAAGAATAGGGACTAAAAGCTTATTGGTCTAAATATAAATTATAAGTTTGTTTTAACACCCAACAATTATAAAAAATATTCTTATTAGTTTAAGGAGTATAGAAAATAAAGAATGGTAAACGACAAACTTATCCTATTTATTCATTTTTAATATGATAAGATTCAAACATTATATTACAAAAAAAAAAAAAAAAATACCCTAAATTATCAAAATAACAATAATAACTTTCAATAGAGGCACAATGAGTTATATTTGAAGGTAGAAAATTAATTTAAATATGACAGTAACACTAAGTGATTTATCAAACTGCTTGATTATGATTTATCAAAGAAGAAGGGAAGTGAACATCAAATTTATCAAATCAAAGTATTTATCAAATAGATAAAGAAGTAGGCGACAATGAACACACAGTTCTCCAGGAAAACTTTCAGATGCAATTATGATATTATACTAACTAAATATTTAGAGGATGATAATTTTAATTTTTAATAATAACGGTCATTATATATTCTTGGAGATTTCCAATGATTAAATAATACTCACATAGCGTCTTAATGAAGCTTAATATACTTCCTTCTTATTGGTTAACAATAAATATAAAAGACATAATGTACACGTTTCAGTACAATAATAAGATACAAACTGAAAAGATCCTGTTTAAATGAATTTTTTTAGTAAACAAAGACATGATAAATAACATCTACTACGGAGAGAGGGAGGGGCTTTTGCGCTGAAGAGTCCCCTCTCATAAATGGTAAATTATGTTATAAAACTATGTTTTATGGAAAAAAGACTTCAAGAATCACTTAAACACAATTCCAAATAGGTCTTTTCTTTCTTTTTCCAAAAGTAATTATCGTTATACATATGAAAACAAAAGCTTTAAGGCTGAAGCCCCCCAAAATGAAATCCTGGATCTGCTTGTGATAACAAACATCTACTCTCTTAAAAGAAACTCATAGGATAATACAATACAATAACAAACATATCCAAAGCAGAACTAAAAGATAAATAATTAATGGATTAAAGGTATTAAATTATAGGGGATAATGTAGAATAGTATACAATGGAAAAGTACATTGGTATACATCTGGAAATAAAATACAATAATAACCAATAAAATTCATATATTAAAAAAAAATTAAAATGGCGAAATACAGAAAGCTATCAAGAATTAAATACATAATGTAAATTGTAATATACAGATATCATCAACTGAGGTCCTTATATTTATATTATAAAAATAAGCTTGGTGGTTATAACAAAATCATATTGATACAATAAATATTTTCCTTTTACACTAACAACATAATCAAAATTTAGTACAAATTCACTAGTGTCACGTTTGGCTGATAAATGGGTCGAGATCACATCGATCACAGTGTACAACCCGAATATGACCAATAATTGATAATCGAAAGGATTTATTGATGGATTGAAAATAACCCATCCCTGCTGACAAGGAAACCCTGTTTGAAAAGTCCTGACCTCTGAAAACAAGAGTGTATTTATTCAACACGATCATATAAGAATAATAAAAACGAACAAAATTGTACCAAAATAAATGCACACATAAATGGGTCTAAAATAGAGAGACAACCCACAGCAATCGGTAATTAAAGTTATATTCCTTGCAGAAAAATAATATGAATTGATAAAATAGTAAACTTTAAAATTAATCGAATTTTGTGGAAAACAAAAGTAATCAAATAAAATTACATATTTAGAAACCTTATAAAAATAAAATAAACTTAAACTAGTTATCATATGTTGAAGAAATAAAATTCCAATTAAAAAGGATATAAAATAATGAACTTCTATTTTACCTGTATAACCAATAGTCCCAAACTGCTTATTAACGAATCTGGAACTTTAAAATCTTTCGAAACCTAATTATCGTTCGCTAATAAAACCCGATGAATTACTAAATAATAAAAATAATAGGGTTTTAGTGGCAAAGAAATTGCTTCCATTAATTTTATTAACTTAATAATGCATGAAGATATACAATAGATTTAAAAGAAAAACACTCGCTTCAAAAACAATGCTCTGACAGTTCCACCACAGACACAAACCTTCTCGACAAACAACACACCCAACTGACTTCATCGAGCCAATATGGCGTCATTTCTGTGACCTCATGGCCAATACAATTAGATTCTTGGCCCAATTTAGTTAAAGGAGAGAATGTTAAAAACTAAACACATGAAAAGTATTTTAATTTATATTAAAACAAATGGAATAATGAGAAAATAATTGTTGATGAATTGTAACGGTACTGAGTCGGTGAGCTTGAAGTGGATTTTCCCCCACATACCTTTGCTCTTTATCATAAATACTGTAATTTTCCCTCTGTTCACCCGTTCAGTAGGCGTGTGAAACCTGGTGAGGACCTGAAACTTCGGAACGAAATAAAATAATTTTTTTAATGTTTATTGAGGTTTCTCACTGCCTGCAATCCCCAACGAACTTACCGACTTCAATTTTTCAATAAAGGACAATCAGTAATAGTTGTAAAATAAGTTTAAAATACCACATTCCACAAAAAAATAAATATATATATATATATATATATATATATATATATATATATATATATATATACACACACACACACATATGTATAATAATTAATAAACTAAGTTGATTAGTTCTTATCAAAAATGAGATTAGCAATTATTTGTTAGTATTCTAATTTTATGAAATACTGAGTGAGGGCTCGATAGTCGCTGACACTTAAGACACGGATAGAGACGTTAGTTATCTGAGCACCAATGTATAAAAATATGAATTTACCTAAGGTTTTGGGACCACTACCATTTCAATCTTTGAAAATGAATATAGGGATAAATTGAACATAATTATTTTATATTATGATCAGTGCCGGTCTTCGACATTTGGCGCGCCTCAAACTGGTGCGAGCTAACGCTACGGTTGGACATTGGGAGAAAAAACAAAAGTTACAATTTGGAGGTTTTACTGAATTAGTGAAAAACTTATATCGTTTCCCCTTCATGTCCAGTAATTTTTAACCTAATTATCGTATTAATAATGCCCTGATGTGGGATAATACGTGAAGAGATGAAAACCATCTTTTTTATATTTAGAGCTGGTTTGCCGGTATTATTTGTTTAAACCTATCGGTATGTGTTGAGCAGTATTAAATTCGTTATATGTTTGTAATTTGGTCAGTATAGACAGTTAGATATTATTCGCCCGCCTAGATATTGTTTGCTCGCCCCAGTGTGAGCCTGAACAATTGCGTCAAGAGCTTCCCCTTCTCCTCGCAAAAAATGAATTTCCTAATCAGTTATGTATTGCTTTTTATTTGAATTGCATTTATTTCAATATATCTCTAATTCATTTAATTTATTTAGGCCAATATTATTTAATCTCATGCGTTTTTATATATTTTTATAATTTTCAATAAGTGGTGGGCGTCCCTGCTGTTCGGCGCCCCTGGGTCATATAAACTTTGATATGACTATATTCTATTACAATTAGTAAGGCCAATAAAACAGAAATTTTTATGTATAATCCAAACCATGGCCACCTTTATGAAATTAGTAACATTACTAAAATATTTCTTCGGTTCATGCGGAATTCAATAATGGAGCATGATTTAGTAATTTAGTAATCGAGCAGTTCATACGTTCATAAATCCTTTTTTTAAGATATTCTAACTTCTCCTCCGTAGTTTTTTATTCGTAGACTTCATTGTGTCATATAGTTTTCTTGTTGGTCTAGAGATTAATATGGTATTTGCATAGGCGTAGACTACGAATAGGAGAGGGGGGGGATCGCCAACTCAATAGAACTTTAATATGAAATAAATTGAGATTCACCTCAAGTTGTGCAAAAAAATGAGGTGTTTCGATATCCTGTAACCTTAAAGTTTAAGTGTTTTGAACAAAAATTAGTACAATAAGTTATTGCAAAGCTTTAATTTATTTTTCTCATCGCCTGGGATGTATTATCATAAACATAAATTAATAAATACAGTTTTTATTCATTACAATAAAATTGTTTAAAATAATGATTTTCGAATATTTATCATCTAAAGTGATAATAAAACTGAGTTTTTTTAAAATTAAGATCTCTATTATAGAAATTGTTCCGTATTTATAAGTGACCAATTAAACGTTTCCAATCCTAATACCTACTTGTGAAATAAAGAACCTCGCTGATTGCTTGAATTATTTTCGCGAAATCGTAAATATTAGGATTGGAAATATTTAATTGATCCCTTATAAGAAGGGATCAATTTTTATAATACAGAGGTTAATACAAAAGCACAGATCCATTATCATTTTTAATAATAAATATTTGAAAAATCATTATTTTTAACATTTCATTTGTAATAAATAAAACGAGTATTTACGAATTTATGTTTATATAATACATCCCTGCCAAGTTGCAATAACTTTTGCTGTGGGATGATTGCGGAGCGTGGTCTTGCGTTGTCATGGTGGTATAAAACAACTTGGCGATTGACTAGTTCTGGCAGTCTCTGTTGCAATGTTAGGTCCAATTTCATTAGCCGCGTGCAGAAGATCTTCGAAGCAATCGTTTTTGCTTGTGGGAGCAACTTGTAAAACAATACGCCGCGATAATCTCACCATATCAACAGTAAAATCTTTTTCGGAAATAGACCTTCCTTCGGGGTGGCATTAGGCGGCTCATCAGCTATTTTCCGCGATCTTCTGCGTATTACACTGTCATAGATGATTCACTTTTTGTCAACCGTGACTTCGTTTGAGAAATGGGCTCCTTCGTGCCGGTTCAGAGTTCCAGATTGAAATTCGGTTGGCCTCCGGTTGGCCAGGTTTGCCTCAGTCAGTTTGTGTGGCACCCAAATATCGAGGCGGGACAGGTAGCCAAACTGTTTTAAATGCCTTTTAACGGTTCTAAAAGCTATTTTCAGTGTCTCCGCAATGTCTCGTACGTGTGGTGGCCGGTATTGTGCGATTAGAGCCTTTATATCACTCGAATCAGCCTAGGTGGGCTAACCGCTGCGGGGTACATCTTCGAGATTCTTGTTTCCAGAACGAAACTTGGCATCACTAACTCCATATCATCCAGACTACTGAAATTTAGAAAAATCCTCTCTTCTTTGGTTCTTCTCACCTTGCCTCCAAAAGCTGTAAACCCCACTGAGATCAAATCCCTTAAAAAACAAAATAAAACCTCAAAAATCCTCTGGAAACGATCTCCTTACATCCCAGAACCTACGACAACTTCCCAAAAAGCAATTATATTCCTCAGATACCTATTCAATTGTATCATCCGAAAAACCCACTTTCCTCTGATTTGGAAACACTTCATAATTATCCTTTTCCCTAAACCTGGTAAACTTGTTAATGTTAAGTCGAAGGTGAAGGCAGTTCGACGGATGAGAGATCCATTGAAATGGAAGAAAGGGACGTAATGATCAATAAGTATAGGTAATTTGGAAAACAAAGACCTCAGAGTTGATGAAGACGGAATCTACAACGCTTGGAAAGTCTAAAATCACTACAATATGGTCGAAATCGGGGGTGAGGGACGATCAGATTTGCCAGGAACTGAACAAAGCGTCTAGTGCGAGAAAATCCATTATTTAGAATAGAATTTTTTTTTTTTTTTGAAATCTATTTATTGAATAATAATACAATCAGCCACTGCTGGAGGGCTATAAGCATTAGGGCTAAAAGTTCTCATTCATACAATATATACAAATAATAAAGAAATAAATATAAATATAAGAAGTAAATAAATAATACTGATGAAGAAGGTAAATAAATAAAAAAAAAATAATAAAAAAAAATAAAATAAAATAAAAACTTCTAAACACAATCATAACTATATACAATATATACATTTGCCCAAGAATCTCCGAGCCAGGCTTTTACCTCCACACGCGGAAGGCAAAGCAAGACTCCGGAAGATCCCAGTGCCACTTTTCCAGTCGCATCACTAGTATTAGAAGCCAGTGGAGACTGAAAGAGGGCAATACAGCCACAGACGCTCAGGACATGAGTGGAGAAGCTGGCCATTGCCAGGACTCCAAAGGCATATTTACAAAAGATCTCGAGGCCACTGCCGTTTCAACCTTCGAGGGGGATGGTATGGATGCTCGGAGCTGGATAGGGATTGCGCTAGAGGATTGGGATGATGAATGAGGTTCTGGTGAAAGTTGGAGAATCTGGATGGGATGATGTCATGGACATATGGGATGTTAAGGTCATGGTGTAGGGTCTTGTTCGTGACATAATATGGAGCATTGACTATTGTTCGAAGGACTTTGGACTGGAAGGATTGGATGCGTTTGATATTCGATGATTTAGTTGTCCCCCACAGTTCAAGTCCGTAGGTCCAGATAGGTTTCAGTATGGTCTTGTAGATTAATAATTTGTTTTCTGTTGAGAGATGAGATCTTCTGTTTAGTAGTCTATATAGCTGACCAAATCGTCGGTTAAGCTCTTGTCTTTTAAGTCTCGTATGTGGGTTCCAAGTCAGTCTTTTGTCCAGAAGGAAGCCAAGGTATCGGACTGTGTCTGAGTAGGGAAGAGGAATTGAATTAAAAAGGATTGGCGGACAGGATCTGCGTCGAAGAGTGAAAGTTACATACTTGCATTTTGATTCATTAATTTTGATGCGCCAGTTGTTGCACCACTGCTCAATGAAGGAAAGGTGTCTTTGCAGGTTCTGGGACGCTATTAGAGGATCCGAGTGGGAGGATAGGATGGCAGTATCATCAGCAAATGTTGCTAGGAAGGTATCAGGACTTGAAGGGATGTCAGCGGTGAAAAGGATATAGAGAACTGGGCCCAAGACACTGCCTTGTGGAACACCAGCCTCAATTGGATAATGTTTGGAGAGTTCAGTGCCGCAGCGGACTTGAAAGGAGCGATTTGAAAGGTAAGATTTGAGGACTAGGTACAAGGGTTGAGGTAAATGGGTTTTGAGCTTGAAAAGCAAGCCATCGTGCCACACCCGGTCGAAAGCTTGAGCTGCGTCCAGAAACGCACCAGTGCAATATTGCTTGTTTTCAAGTGCAGAGGATATGTGGTCCACAACGCGAAGGCCTTGTTGGACAGTGGAGTGTC